CCCGCCATCAATTATGCAGGAATTTGAAGTCATCTTGTTTGTGTGCTAAATTAAACGTGGAGAGAGCAGGGACTGAAGCGGGGATCCAACACCGGGCTCCCCCCCCACCCCACCCCCACCAGCTCTCTGCCCGTTTCGCACTTCCAGCCACGGTGCGTGCTTAGCGGCCCAGCCCTCTTCCTCCCCCGCGGCCCGCGTGCCCCCAAACCCCACCTCGTTCCCTTTGGGAATTAATTCCGAAACAACGGAGGCTGCGTCGCGCGCTGACCCCGCGTAGCATGGGAAAGGGCCCCGCGGACAATGCGTCGCGTTGCTGCGGCAGCGCCGGGTAAATGAAGCAGAAGGCCGCGCCGGCGAGCCCCGCCGAGCGCCCTGCGACAGCAGCGCCGCCGCCGCCGCCGCTGCTGCTGCTGCCCGTGCCGTGCTCGCTCCGCTGCGCGATGCCCGAGGGACCCCCACTCCAACCCCGCTCCCCCTACCCACTCAGGCGGTTCGGCGTCAATTGCCGCAGCTTGCAGCGGCCCAAAATCTGGAGCGGTGGTTGCCTCGGTTAATTTGTTGGGTGGCTGACTGGGTGGTTAAGTAGGTGTCTGGGTGGATAGATGGCTGGGTGGGTGGATGGCGTCGTGGCTCGGTGGATAACTGACTGGGTGGCTGGGTGGATGGCTAAGTCGGTGATTGGGTAGATTGCTGGAAGGATGGATGAGTGTCTAGGTGGATAGATGGGTGGTAGACTGATTGGATGGATGGGTGGCTGGGTGCATGGGTGACTAACTGGGTGGCTGGGTGGATGGTTAACTGGCTGGTTGGGAAAGTGACGTGTCTGCTGATTTACAGCAATAGCAAGGAAATGTAATGGGATTTTATAGTAGGACCCCGAGTGTAAGTGGATTCGAAACCTGGCCATGCACCTGGAATTGTCACCTTCGTGTCCAAGATGCTCCAGTTAACCCCACTCCCCCCTCATCCTCCCATCTTGAAGTTGTCTTATCTACGCGTGGGGTCCAATCTGGCTGTCACCTCCGCTATTTCACAACGATCATGAAATGTTCCAAACAGATGATAAACAGCCCACATTTGGAACAGGGATCTCACAAACCTGACTGAGATCAATGTTATTTATTCCACAAGTTGATTTGGTTTTTTTGTGCGTAACTTAATTGCCCGAGTAAAATTTTGAACATTTCCCGAGATACCTTTCCATGATTTCCGTGAGCGGGGCATCACCTTGCGTCAAAGTAGAGAGCTGCGCGTTGCTGTACTCTTGAATTGCCTTCAGAAGAACTCCCATGCATTCGAGGCGGCTCACAAAACCCACATTTTACTTCTCAGAGCTTCAATTCTGCAAAATCAGTTGATAAGCCAACTGCAACTTTGATGATGATGATGATGATGCATTTATAAATGTGTCTGTGACCAGGCCGAGGAGGCCCGCAATCCTCTACACCAGACATCGTCGGTGCTGGCTCGGCACCGCCGACGGTATTCGCCACCGTGAGCCACCCGTGCCACCTACGCTTTGCAAGTCGACGAACGCGCGCTCGCTGGTGCTTACTGAATGCACCCATGGGGAAAGTCGCGTACGTGGAAGGTGGCTCTGTGTGTTCGTTCGCGCGCGGCCACAGCTACAGTGCCAGCGGTGTAGGCTGTTTGCCTTGGCCGTCTCGCTCGGGCGTGGAAACGGAAATGAAAATGCCGCTAAGCCCTTCAGATGGGTCGCGACTTCGACGAGAGTACTCAAATGAACCTTGATGGTGGGCGTTGGAGTTTTATTTTAATAAAAAAAACAAAAATTGTAATCCCCACGGAGGCAGGCACCGCGCATTGTCAGGCAAATATTGGCAAACATTCCACGGCACCTGCTTCTGTATTTGCGAGTGCATCTTTAATCGCGTAAAGCGGCTTCCTGGCACAAAAAAACGCGTTCTTGCGATGTGTGTGGGGGGGGTGGGTTCTTCGCTAACGCCATGCGGCCATGTGCGGTGGCAACATCGCGTACGCCCAGCGCTCTGGAGGCGAGCGTTGGTGGGACGGGAGGTGGCCAGGAGAGGGCAGCACTGCACGTGCACCGAATCTGTCCGTGCGGTGCCTTTGAACGACGTCCCCTCAACCGCGTGGCATCTTTCCACTTAAAGCTTTCGTGACTGCAAGGATTCATCTTCTTTGGTTCTTTCGGTAAAGTCACGTAGAATGAGAATAAAATAATAAAATAACACAATAAAATTATCACGACGTTTCGGCCACAACCCAAGCGGCCGTCTTCAGGTGAAAGGTACAGACCTGTCGGGACGACAGAGCTTCAATTATTCTCATTCTACGTGACTACCGAAAGAACCAAAGAAGACGCGTGGCATCTCTCCAGTTTTTTTCTTTCTCCCGGTTTCCTCCCCACACGCCAAAGAAGTCGTGGAATTGGGCAAAACGTCGTGACGCAGGACTATCCTGGCCCGCTTCGACCTCACATCTGTGAAAAAGGGCTTTATAGCTCATCGGATTCCTCCAGTGTTAAATATTCTGGTTTCAGAGTCTCGAGCCTCGGTGAGCCTTTCCTGGGTAACACGTGGCATTGTCTCATTGTACGTATGTATGTTGAACTTCTTTCACACCGTACACAGCCCCACCGTGCTAATTGGAGGCGCGGGGAAGGGCAACAAACTAAACACGAAAAGCAATTCTAATGAAGCGGTGTTTTGAATCGAGATGATGATTTAAAAGCGCAAAGCTCCAGTGGCTTCCCAATATCGGAAGGGAGAGCGTTCCAGACGGCCGCAGAAGCGCATCTGAAAGCGCGCGATGCGGTGACCACCGTCTTTGTTCAAAGGTCAGCCACAAGCCACTACGAGGATGACCGGAGTTCATTGTTGTTACGCAACACATCGACGCTGTTCTGACTGCCGATGTCCAATACCCCGTGAAGCCTTCAGCACGACCACCACGTTGTGCGCTAATAGATTGGTTCCTTTTCAAAACGTTCAAGCCAGATTTGAAGCTTTCGTGACTGCAGGAATCCATACTGTTTGGTCCTTTCGGTAAAGACTGGGAGCGCGGATTGGTGGCATCGCGGTCAATGCGCTGCACTACGCATCCGCCGAGTTCAACTCCCGGCCAACAACACAAAGCGTGTACGCGAGTCATCGTGCCTTTGCTTGTGTCAGGCGACGCCCTGGGCACCCTTGCAAACGAGACGCCCCATCTCAATGGGTTGTCCAAACCCTCACTGACCAGCACGGCGAAGTGTGGTCAAACAGCGCCAATGATATAGAGTTCCGGGCGGCCTTCCTCCACCGATTGGTTTGAGCAAACACTGTCGACTCACCGCGAAGTGGCACTCGTTTTATAACGCCACAGTGGGCTGATGGCCACAGCGTCAATCGGTCGCATCAGCCTTACCTGAAGGTTGTACAAGGCCAGATTATGGATTTAGTTTAGAATGTGGAGGTTGTAGACCTTCCAAATGCAAATGCATCTCAAGACGCGCTCCACGACAGCGGGGCTTGCATCAGGAGGGAACCGGGAGGGCCTTGTGGTGATCCATGCATCTGTTGATGATGTTTACTTCTCACTTGGCACCTCGCTAATTATGAAGTCGAAGGTGACTGCACTCAGGATATGGTCTCGTAACGATGAATGCGTCTTTATTGAACAACTTCGCGGAGCAACAAACACGTCCTTCCAGAGACAACAACAACAATAACCGTCTCTGTCTCTCAACTGTCTAAAGTGCGCGCCAATGACTCCATCCCACGTGGACATCTCGCGCTCGTTCTGCACACATCTCAAAGAGAAGAGACGGCGAGGAGCAGAGGAGGATCTTGAGTCTGGATGGAACAGGAGTCGGTAGCCATCAACACCATCGGGAGCGCGTAGGCCACAGTGCTCTTCATCGCAAGGCCCGCAGTGCCACTGGCGGGCCCTGGTGGCCTTTAGTGCGGCCCCTGACGTGTGGCCCAGGAAAATACACACACCCCATCATCATCATCAACATCGTCATCGTGTTGATGATGCACACCCCCCATCATCATCAACATCGTCATCGTGTTGATGATGCACACCCCCCATCATCATCATCAACATCGTCATCGTGTTGATGATGCACACCCCCTCATCATCATCAACATCGTCATCGTGTTGATGATGCACACCCCCCATCATCATCATCATCAACATCGTCGCCGTGTTGATGATGCACACCCCCATCATCATCAACATCGTCGTCGTATTGATGATGCACACCCCCATCATCATCATCAACATCGTCGTCGTGTTGATGATGCACACCCCCATCATCATCATCAACATCGTCGTCGTGTTGATGATGCACACCCCCATCATCATCATCAACATCGTCATCGTGTTGATGATGCACACCCCCCCATCATCATCAACATCGTCGTCGTATTGATGATGCACACCCCCCATCATCATCATCAACATCGTCATCGTGTTGATGATGATACACACCCCCAATGGTTTCAAAATGTGTGGCGGCCCTCACGCTGGTGATGTCTTCTCGGCGCAAGTGGCACCCCCCACCCCCCCCCTCTGAGAAGTGAGTGAGGAGCATTGGCGCGGGCAATGACAGCCGTAGTTGCGCCAAGTGGAGACTCCAGGAGGCCCCCTGCCCGGTGAGGCCGGTGTCGGGACAGATCTCACGAACCCACGAGTTCCTTCGGACAGCCGATGGGACTGGCGCCGTGACGGTGCCGGTCCAGATCCGCCCTCCGTCCGGACGGATCCAAGCCAGGGCTCGGCGTGCGGGAGAGCAGTGGGGGGGTGGGGGGGGGCTGGGGGGGGTCGGCGGCGCCGATGGGCGATGCGGAGGAAGTTTTCGGACCCCTGTCGCAGCAGATGAGACGGAGCGACCTCCCACTGAGCGAGCTGGCAACAACATCCCGAGCCCGACCCTGAGGGAGTCGATTTGCGGTCTCTGGACTGCCGACATACGGTGCTGGCTGACTGCGACAAACTTCGCTTCAAAAGCTCAAGTGGCAACAGTTGCGAAGAGTTGAACCAATTTTTTTTTTTAATGACTCGGGCGACGATCGGAAATGCCAGTTGCGCTGAAGAAAACGAAATCCTTGACATCTGATATTTCACGCACGGCCAAAAACAACAGCTTTTTACGCAATCGTGGAAAGATAAACATTCCGCGCCCAGTTTTGTGGGGTTTGCGTTGGCCCAGCGTGCGCTGTCGGCAGTCAAAGAGACGTGAACGCTTCTGCAGTTCGGACGTTGGGGCTGTCTCGCAGGCCTCTTTCCCATGCACGTTTAACAGATGCCCTGGAGACAGGAAGACAGGAAACGTAACAAAAAAATATCAAGGAAGCCACTTGCAAGAACAATTCCCTAAATCTGATTTAAGAAAACACCAAATGACAAAATCACGCGCGGCTGTCTCGGGCGGGGAGAGTGCGGCGGGGGGGGGGGGGGGCTTTGTGCCGTGCCCGCTTCTCTGCACTGAGACACGCAGCTGAGACCCCCCGAGTTCGAAACCCACACCACGGCTTAGGACGACGCCACGTGCTCAAGTGTAGCAGGTTAACCACTGCAGGGGGTGTTGGAGGTGGCCGGGTGGCTCGTAATGACAATGCTCCGTAATAGAGGTGGTTTTGGGTTATATCGCGTAAACAGAAATGTGCCGTTAAACCCGCCACCACCCGACACAGCCAATTAGTAAGAGGGTTTGTCACGGAAACAAAACATGTGGCCCGATGATGCTGGTTGTAATCACCGGCGAAACGTCGAACTGTACTCGAATTCTAAACAGTTGTGGAGTGTACTCTCCAACACGCCGGTGTGCTGTACTAGTAACGAATTGGCACGTTCTGTTTACGCGACAAATCCTTACTGAATGGCTGTGTCGGCTGGTGGCGGATTTAGCAAGGCATTTATATGTACGCGATCTAACCCAAAAACCCCTCTTATTATGGATACTATTGGTCGCGAATGCCTGCTCGGTGTCAAAAAGGAAATGCTGTCGGCGCAGAGCCATCACCACTGCGGCCCTGCGTTTGATTCCGCGTTTCACTCGCCCATAGTTAAACTGCGCTTCTTAGCGGAGTGTGGTGACGGTTTCGGTGCGGTCATCAATGACTGCGTAAAAACAAAAACGATCAAAATTAATCATAAGAAAAGGCTTTACCCTTCCTGCCAATACAACAGGAGGTGTTAACATGTTCAAACACCAAACATATACACCAAGTCAGCATTAACCACACATGCTTGTGGATAAAAAAAACATACAAAACAAACACGCTCTGTTAATTGTATATCCCTTGTCTTTGAAACGGATGGGCCTCCTCCGTTGACTTTGCTTTGCCACGTGGCTTATTCTAACGCTACGTTGATTGCGTTGCCGTATGACGAGCCCGACCAATCCCCTGCAAACTTGATTTGAAGCTTTCGTGACTGCAGGAATCCATACTATTTTGGTTCTTTCGGTAAAGTCAACGTAGGTATAAAATAAAATAAATCACGCCGTTTCGGGCGCAACACAAAGCGTCCGTCCAGGAGTCACTTCGTGAAATCCGCTTTCTGGGACTGCACTCAGGCATGAGGTCGTCATCTGATCGCTGTGCGATACTCGAACGGGAACGCATTTGTCTCCCGTGGTGACACCTATGGTGAAATTAGATTTTGAACAAGACAGTCTTTGTTCAAAATAAACATGTAAATGAAATGTTTACACCGATTATATTATCCCACGCGTTCTCGTGTATTTATCTAGTTATTTATTAATTTCACTCCGATTGCAGAGCGTAAGGTCGGTAGCTCAACATCGGTCAGCAACAAAAGATCGCTGCTGCCAGCACGGCAGATAGGAAGCAACACGACTCCTTGTAAAAAACGTGTCAGTTTTGTTGCCAGATAAAAGGGTAAAAAAACAATTATCAGACTCAGGAACTTACCGGGGTTCACCAATGTGCTAGAAGAGACCACGGGGAGGGAATTGCGGAATCGGTGGAGTCCACATTTTTTGCTGAACCGCTTTCTGGCGAGCAAAGAGTATAGCAACCTCGACGCCGAAGCGAGTCTTGTACACCGCGCGTGTGGTCCATCAACCCCTTCACACTCCACAGCGCTGGACTACAGGCCACGTGCGCCATGCACCACCACGGGGCGACATGAATAGAGGGGCCTTGCAGGGACAATAGAGCGGATGGTGACGGAGTCGGACTGGTCACGCCTTCCACAAATCCACCTCGTGACCAGTCAGGAAGGAAGCCAAAGGGGTCCAGGCCTGCAAGCCACAGTGGACACCGAGGAGTGCCGGATTATCGTAGTAGCTACACATGCAGTAGCTACACAAGCAGTAGCTACACATACTCTTTGGTTCTATTGGGTAAAGTCACCCAATAGAACCAAAGAGTATGGATCCTTGCAGTCACGAAAGCTTTAAATCTAGAATTGAGTAGCTACACATGTAGTAGATACACAAGCGCAGTAGCTACACAAGCGCAGTAGCTGCACATGCGCAGTAGCTACACACGGCGCAGTAGCTACACACGGCGCAGTAGCTACACACGGCGCAGTAGCTACACACGGCGCAGTAGCTACACACGGCGCAGTAGCTACACACGGCGCAGTAGCTACACAGGCGCAGTAGCTACGGGCCCCGCACTTTCAAGGGCCCCGCGCTAAACGCTTTCAAGCTATCAATTCCGGTTCAGTGATTCTGCACTTGCTCTATTACTATAGTACTATACCGCCTTCAACTTTTACGAACGACTGGGTGTTTAAGGTTAGCGATTTGTCGTATTATTTGGCTGTGTAGTAAATAAAAAAAATACAATTACTTTACCATGCGTGTTACAAATTTTGTGTTTTAATATTTCCGTGTTTTTTTATTTAGGGCCCCTTTATAACAGAGATTACAAGGCCCGCACTAGCTTAATTCGGCGCTGACACCAAGCCACTCTTGGCAAGGAGATGGCATCGACTCTTTGGAAACTAGCTTTCTTGCCCGTCCACGTACGGGTGCATTGCAGTAAATCTGAAACTTGCAAGCGAAAATCAGCCCGCGACGTGATATTCATTGCATGAATGCGCGTGCAGTTTGTAAGGGCGCGGTGACGTCTATTTTACTTCGATGTCTCAACAGCGTTACGGAGATCACGTGATGACGTGAGGGTTGTGAGTTGACGCCGAGGAGGGGGGAGGAGGCGCCTCGCCCCCCTGGTGGAGTGACGTCAGCCGCTAATTATTAGGAAGGGTGGGGGGGGGTGTCCATTTGGAGGACGTCACCTTATAATGATTATTAATTAGGGGAGTTGTTCGATGTGTAGTGACGTCACGAGCGTTGACAGACATTCCTGGGTGATTATAGTAGGTATGGGAGGGGGGTGTCCATTCGGAGGACGTAACCTGGTCATGATTAATAATGAGGGGGGCTGGTCGACGTGGGGTGACGTCACGGGCGTTGCACACAGACATTTTTAGCTCATTATAGTAGGTAATAATGATGGGGGGAGGGGGGTGTCCATTTGGAGGTTGTCACCTGCGCATGATTATTAATTAGGGGGGCTGTACGATGTGGACTGTGGAGTGACGTCACTTGCTCATGATTATTAGTTGGGGGGGGGGTAGTCCATATTGGTGATTACATTATTAATGAGGGGTGAGGGGGGGTCCATTAGGAGGACGTGACCTGCTCATGAATATTAAAGAGGGGGGCTGGATGTGGAGTGACGTCACGAGCGTTAAGGACATTCCTGGGTGATTATAGTAGGTAATGTTAAGAGCGATGATTATATTGTGTCGCGGACTCCTGGACATTTGTATATTGATTCCCATCACCCATGTATTGTTGTTGTTGACATTTTAAATATGGATTCTGGCTTAGCAATCATTGGAAGGATTTGATAAACCATTTCGGGTCTTAATTGATTGATCACGCTTAAGGTGGCTTTCAGACCGCATTCATTATTTTTCGTCTCCCCCCTTCTCTTTTCCGAACATAGATGGACTCATATTCTTGGTTCTTTCGGTAAAGTCAAGTAGAAGGAAAACAATAAAATAATAAACATAAAAATATAAAACAATATATTTTTTTATGTTTTATATTTTTATTATTTTATTGTTTCCCTTCTACGTGACTTTACCGAAAGAACCAAGAATATGAATCCCTGCAGTCACGAAAGCTTTAAATCAAAATAGATGAACTCGGCCATCTGAACAAACTGTCAAATCGCTCTCCGTGGTGCTGACGTTAAAAATAACCGCCACTTTTTTCAAATTTTCTTGTTGTGGTTTTCACACCTGATGATGATTGCTTATGTTGCAGTCGAAACGCCGTGATAATTTTATTGTTTTATATTTTTATTATTTTATTGTTTCCCTTCTACGTGACTTTACCGAAAGAACCAAGAATATTTTAAACATAGTTTAAAATAAATAAAGAGAGGGATGAACCAGGGCTATCCAAACGCTCAACACTTGGACCCCAGGTCCGAGTCACGTAGGTTAAGAGGCTGCATACAGGAAGTGCTTGCGAGAAGCCATTCTTACGGTCTCTAGAAGTGATGATGACCCCAGGTCAATGGCGGAGCCAGGATTTTCAGGTAGTGGGGGGCAACCCCTCCAGCAATTAAAATGATAGAGGAGTTGTTAGTATGTAAGGAGTTGGTGGGAAGTAAGGAGTTGTTAGTAAGGAGTTGTAGTAAGTAGGGAGTTGTTAGTAAGGAGTTGTAGTAAGTAGGGAGTTGTTAGTAAGGAGTTGTTAGTAAGTAAGGAGTTGTTAGTAAGTAAGGAGTTGTTAGTAAGGAGTTGTAGTAGGTAGGGAGTTGTTAGTAAGGAGTTGTTAGTAAATAAGGAGTTGTTAGTAAGTAAGGAGTTGTTAGCAAGGAGTTGTTAGTAAGTAAGGAGTTGTTAGTAAGTAAGGAGTTGTTAGTAAGTAAGGAGTTGTTAGTAAGGAGTTTGTTAGTAAGGAGTTGTTAGTAAGGAGTTGTTAGTAAGGAGTTGTTAGTAAGTAAGAAGTTGTTAGTAAGTAAGGAGTTGTTAGCAAGGAGTTGTTAGTAAGTAAGGAGTTGTTAGTAAGTAAGGAGTTGTTAGTAAGTAAGGAGTTGTTAGTAAGGAGTTTGTTAGTAAGGAGTTGTTAGTAAGGAGTTGTTAGTAAGGAGTTGTTAGTAAGTAAGGAGTTGTTAGTAAGGAGTTGCTAGTAAGTAAGGAGTTGTTAGTTAGTAAGGACTTGTCCCTTGCTTGTTACTCGACGCGTGTGCGGCAATGACGCAGCCATCGATCGAGGGTCGAATTCGAACCGCGTTGTGTGATCGGCATCGCGCTCGCTGAAGGTGTCGATGCCTTCAGGGAAGTCGTGGACTCTGTATACGCAACCGCGCACAATTCTGTGAGTCACTTATAACCGCTTTGCCGTTACTTATTGCCAATTATGGACTCAGACTATTGTCCTATCATCTCATAGTCCCTGGAATGTAATAATATGCTGCACAGTGGCAGTGGGGGTTGCAAAATGCCCATTTATTACTAATAAACCCCAATGATCCGATCGAAATTATGGATTTCGATCGGATCATTGGGGGGGGGGGGGGGGGTACGTGCTGCCCCACCCCCCCCAGTGCCCCAGGTGACGGGAAAGATGATTGTTGGTGGCCGATTCCACCACTTTGTAGTCGTAAAGTCGCGCAGTAGTTACTTTATTATGTCATATTGTGTCTGTACAAGCATATTGTGTTACTCATCGTGCACTGTAGATTGGTATTCTGGCTAAAGTAAATTCTGTTTTGTCAAAGCAGAAAAGCACGGGCGATACACGGCGAGCGAGTCGGAAGTCGAACCCATGTGAAGGGAACATCAGAGTGACGCTATGTCGCTGCTCCAACGAACACTTCACAGCGACCATCGCCGCTGGTGTCCCAGAGCCAGCGGTGCAAATTCCTCGTTCTCGCAAAAAGAAGCGACCACCTCCAGGGTGCGGTCATCATCGATGCCCCCCGCAAAGCGGTACTCATTTAAATCACCCCTTGCTGGGTATGATCTCGATGGTGAGTCGTGCACACCGACTGACGTCGCTAGTGATCTCTGTATAAGCAGAGAGATAAATAGAGATTCTGATTCTGGTGTGACGAGCAGAGCGGCAGAATCAGAATCTGCATTTATCCTGGAGGAGGAATCCGATTAGCTATGAAGCTCTTTTTCACCGATGTTCAGTAGGGGCGGGCGAGCAAATTACAACAATAAACAATACGCAACAAAGGTAGGAGTGCCAAATAGAGAAAAGGTAAGCAAGTCACTAAAATAAATATAAATAAATGAGTACAAATGCGTAAGTACACAAACAGGAGTGTGTCACACCATGTCAAAGCGTCACCATGCTCAGAGTGTAGCGGCCTTGGTCTCTTGTGGGGTCTCTGGACACAAGACTCACGGCTCCAGTCACTACACGGCAACATTTATTTTTAAATATTTGTTCCTTTTTTTATTCTGTCGAGTAATGACACAGACCTGGAAAATATTCAGAAAAATGCCAGTTCGTGAATGTTTAAAACACACTCGGCTGTATTCCTCGGCTGTGATTTAGGAAAATGAATGGAACAGAAGGGACGAGGGGATGAGTGGGGAGCAGAGGGGAATGATCGCAACAGAGACATTTTTCCACAATGAGCGTGGAACGTGCGCTCCCACGACTCTCCCTCGCGCGGCCCAGACGGGGGCCAACCCCAGCGCGTGCCAGCACGCAGCTGCGGGCCAGTGCCGGATTATCCTCGTGGCACATGCAGTAGCTACATATGTGCAGTAGTCACATATGTAGCTACATATGTAGTAGCTGCACAAGTAGCCACATATGTAGTAGATACACATGTAGTGGCTACACAAGTAGTAGCTACGGGCCCCGCGCTTTCAAGGGCCCCGCGCTAAATGCTTGCAAGCTATCAACTTCTCTTTGGTTCTTTCGGTAAAGTCACGTAGAAAGAAAATAAATTAAATAATAGAGTACGACGTTTCGATTGCAACACAAGCAACCGTCATCAGGTAGAACTAAATTTGAGAGAGAGAGACAAAACACAGACACGGAGACACACAGATAGACACACAAGCAGAGAGACAACACAGAGACATACACAGAGAGAGACACACAACATAGACACACAGAGACCCAATGCCTCTGTGTCGAGGCCTTAAATGGAGAGAGAGGGGGGTGGGGCAGAGAGAGAGAGAGGTGGGTCTGCTGGGGCCGCTACTGGAGCAGAGAAGTTAGCATGTCAATGAATCCACCCCTAAGCGACCGAGGGAGAGAAAGATGAGAGTCTTTTAGAGAGAGAAGCAGGCCGTTTCAGAAAACAAAATGTAGCATTTTTTTGGAAATGTAATGCAATGCAACACAGAGAGCCGGCTAACACACAGTTAACGTATAGCCTGGTTTATTACAATCTCCAAGGATTGCTAAAATTAGAAGTGTGAAATTTTACAGAGACACACAGAGAGATGTGAGGAAATCCACCCCGAAGCGGCCGGGGAAGAGAAAGAGCGAATGGACCTATGAGAGGCTGGTAAATTTTAGAGAGAGAAATAGGCAAAATTTTAGGAAATGTAATGCAATGCAACACAGAGAGTCAATAATAACAGTTAAGTGATTCTGAACTTGCTCTATTACTATAGTACTATACCGCCTTTAACTTTTATGAACAGCTGGGTGTTTAAGGTTAGCGATTTATCGTATTATCTGGCTGCAGAGCAAATGCAAAAAAAAATACAATTACTTTACTACGCAAGTTCAAAATGTACATGTTTTAATACTGATAGGAACCTCCTGGTTACACCAGCCCACAGGGAATTATTGTGTCCGTCCGTCCGTCGTAAATCCAATGATGGGAGGGGTGGGGCTGGGTGGAGAGGGGAGGGTGGGGAGGGGCTGGGTGGAGAGGGTGGGGAGGGGCTGGATGGGGAGGGGCTGGGTGGGGAGGGTGGGGCCGGGTGGGGAGGGGCTGGTCACCCCGTGGTGCCCTTATAAAACTCAACGTTTAACCTACTCACGCCGGCTTGTGCCCGCCCTCACAGTCGGGCATATTTGCGGAATACACCACGTGGTGGTTGCCACCGTTGACCCTGGCCATTGACCGAGCAACCCAACGTCCCTACCAGCTCCCTCCGCAGGAATGTGTTATTTACGTGTTTTGATAAAACAAAATTGGGCCCCTTTATAACATATGCTACAGGTCCCGCACGAGTAATCCTGCACTGGTGCTGGTTTCGCGGGTCTCAAATTCCAGGGGAATTGTCGGGGCTGAGACTGAAGAGTTGTGCTTATTCAGTTGATCCTTGAGGGCAGTGGTCCTTCACATTTACTGCAGCCCTGCGCCCCCATTTGGTTCTCGATTGTAAAGTAAAATGTATAATCTTTAATACATTGGGTTTGATTAACAAATTAGTTGTGCTTACGTGGCCGGTGCCTTAATTTGTGTTTTCGATCATTTAGCTTCTAGACAAATTCTGGCCATGCCTCGCATCCCCCAGAAAGGGCATCTCGCACCCCCAGGGGGTGCAGCCTGTACCCCAGGTCAAGAGAGCCATTGCACAATGTGGAAATGCAAGACGATCTTAGGGGCCGTCCATAAATGACGTCACGCACCTGGGGGGGGGGGGTGGTCAGACACGTGTTAACGATTTGTGACGTTGAGGGGGGGGTGTTTGAGAAATGTGACGTCACATGAAAATGCGCAACTTTAAATAAATATAAACACGTTCTACTTATATTCTTGGTTCTTTCGGTAAAGTCACCGCGTAGAAGGGAAACAATAAAGTAATAAAAATACCAAACGATAAAATTCTCACGACGTTTCGACTGCAGCACAAGCAAACGTCATGGTTTTCACACCTCGTGGGCGTAACACGTCACCGGCTGGTGAACATTAAGGATGACGTCACGCACGCCATAAAAAAACCTTTGACGTCATCCCGACGTTAAAAATCAGTTTCCGGCGAGTGCAGCTCGCGGAGAGAAAGAGACGGAGGAGAGCGGCCGTGGGAGAGGTCGGACAGCGGGAGCAGTGCGGCTCTGCGAGTGGAGCAGCAGCAGCAGCAGGAGGAGGAGGCTAGCGTGAGTCTGCCCCTCACCCACCCACCCCGCATGCCGCCGCCGCCGCAGGCTCTCCGCTCCCCGGCCGCGAGCTCCGACGCCATCGCTCGGCGCCTCTCTCTCGCCCGAGAGTGTGCGTGTGAGGGTGGAATCGATTCCCGCACGTACTCTTATTGTGTCGATTGTGGAATCGGAGAACGCGTGGGTTAAACGCTGTCGCCCGATACGCAACACTCCCCCCCCCCCCCCCCGCATCGATTCCAATCGTTGGGCGCGATTCCGCGATGCGATTCCATTGCGAGCCCTTTTTTGTTTGTGCTAACTCAAAAGCGTCGTACCGTAAAAGGGAAATGTAAAGCAGGCGACGTTCCGAGACAGTGGCGTCGCAACGACGGTGCCGAGCTGTTGCCAGACACGTGGTTCTGTCGTGGCGTCCTGTGAAGGCCCGCGCAGTTGTTGTTGCGCTGAGGGTTTGTTTGTACCACAAACACCACCACCAACACCACCACCACAAACACCACCACCACAGCCACCGCCACAAACACCACCACCACAAACACCACCACCAACACCACCACCACAGCCACCACCACCACAAACACCACCAACACCACCACCACAGCCACCACAAACACCACCACCACAAACACCACAGCCACCACCACCACAAACACCACCACCACAAACACCACCACCACAAACACCACCACAGCCACCACCACAAACACCACCACAGCCACCACCATCGCAGCAGTAGGCGGCACCGCAAGACGACGACGCTGCTGCTGCTGCCCGCGTCTCTTCTGCAGGGATGCTCGAGTCGCCTGGGGGGGAGGTGGTGGAGAGAGATTCTCACCGGCCTCAAGGGTGAATGTCCCGAGGCGCACGGGTGAAGCAGGCCCCGGGGCTGGGCCAGAGATTCCCGGACGCCTCTAGACGCGAGGGACGACGACGACGAGAGATGGCTTGCTCTAAAGCAGCTTCCCCAATGGGCGCGCCCTTCGTTTGATTTTTCGAGGCCCTCCCCGTCCGTTGCAATTCGCGCTGAGCCGTAAGAATCGCGACGTAAATGAGCCCTCGGCGAGGGACGGTGGGTGCACGGTGCAGGTGGTGTCGTGTTTCACTGCGGGCCGCCGTTACAACCGCAGGCATCGCTCCATTGCCCGGAGACAATTGCCGTACACCACGTTCTCACGTCCTGGGGTCGGGTTCGGCCCAGCACATCATCCCTGCCGAGAGGAGGGGGTGGATTAAAACGAGGGACGCTCCGTGCGGTTGCGCACTTGCCAGGTCTCGCCGCGGGAATGTCGAATTTCCACCACTCGCTTTGTGTCCACGCTCGTTTTGGGCAGGCGAGACGGAGAATTGGGTTCGCAGTTGCAGTCGTAGTGACCTCTAGCGGTGACCCCAGTGTCGCGCGTTCCCGCTGTGGCTGCTGCAGCCCGCCACCGTGAAACGTGAAACCTTCCCCGGCTCCGCCACGCGCGTCGTGTACACCACCCCCCCTCCCTCCTCCTCCTCTCGTTCCCATCAGGGCCTCGCCACGCCGTAGCGGTCATTTGACCGAACTTCGACGAAGCTGGTCAGGGCGCTTCGTCGGTGGCGAGGGCATGTCCAGCAAGCGGCATGGTTGAACCTCCGCGCCGTACGTAGACGTCCGTGGGACTCGCGGCGACTCGCCCTGCAACGCCTCTTTGCTGATGGAGGTGGCCCTACGTCAAAGGCACTACGATCCAGGCCCAGCTTCGATTCGGCTCCCGAGGTCAGGCGAGGTCAGGCGAGGTCAGGCACGTTTCCTGGTGCTTTAATCAGAATGCCACCTCTGATGGCGTGGATTTCCATGCTCTCCCCCGCACGTGCGCGGAATGGCATACCTACTATGATCACCCAGGAATGTCTGTCCTTAACGCTCGTGACGTCACGCCACATCGACCAGCCCCCCCCTCATTAATATTCATGAGCAGGTGACGTCCTCCAATGGACCCCCCACCCCTCATTAATAATCATGAGCGGGTGACGTCACTCAATATGGAGTACTCTCCCCATCACTAATAATCATGTGCAAGTGACGTCACTCCACATCGAACTGCTCCCCTCATTAATAATCATGAACAGGTCACGTCCTCCACATGGACCCCACCACCTCATTAATAATCATGAGCAGGTGACGTCACTCCACATGCAGCACCCTCCTCCGAATGGACAACCCCCCCCCCTCCCCCATTAATAATGATTAGCGGCTGACGTCACTCCACATGGGGGTCGAGGCGCCTCCTCCCCCCTCCTCGGCGTCAACTCACAACCCTCACTACAAAGGCAGAACCCTCACGTCACGTGATCTCTCCGTAACGCTGTTGAGACATCAAAGTAAAAAAGACGTCATGATGGACAAGATATTATAACCTTAAAATGAAATAGGTCTGTGTCACCGCGCATTGATGCAATGAATATATATATCACGTCGCGGTCTGCTTTTCGCTTGCACGTTTCAGATTTACTGCAATACACCCGTCCATGGACGGGCAAAAGGCGAGTTTGTAAGGATCGCCATGTTTTAGCATGTATGCTCATTGTGCCCGAATCATGTTGCATTTTGAGGCTCGTGGCGTGAGTAAAACGCGAGACAATGGAAATGAGATTACAGTAGCGAACTAAAACGTATTCTTGAATCGGGGGCCCTAATCGTCAACCGCAGGGTGTTTAGTACAAGTAGGCCACGGTGTTGCCGGTGTCATGGTACACATTTGAAAAAAATGTCACAAAAAATTCCTCGGAATGTACCTGCCAGGCGTTGCCCCTCCCCCCACCCCCACTGCAAAAGTTTGGCAGAACCCTCATGAAAATGAATCGTGAGGCTCAGGTTTTCCTGGGTAAGCAATCGTAATGATGATGCGTAATTGGAAAATTTAAAGACAAGCCTCAGCAGTGGCAATGCAACCCAGACTAAGGGCCATTTCGTGAAGCCCGCTGTCGGCTGCGCTACTTCAACGGAGGAACAAACTACACAAACTCTCGTGAAGCCCTCCCAGTCGTGGCGAGGAGACCTCGACGTTGACATTCAGCTCCTGGACATACTGCCATGCACAAGAATACGATGATAATTTTTTAAGTTAGCGTTTGGGGGAGTCGGCTCGGGTTATTGCTTCACGAAAACGCCACGTTGTGTTCTACTGCACAGGGGTGATCCGTGATCCTGCGGGTCGAGACGGGGTGTGTGCACCCCGCTGGTGGACAGAGTTTTTTAATTTCCCATGTGCCGTAGCGGATGCCACGAGCAGTGTGCTGGGTGCACGTCACGTGGTGGGCTCGGTACACGGTGCCATTACACTGGACATCTGTGAAAAAGAGCTTTATAGCTCGTGGGATTCCTCCAGTATAAATAAACATTCTGATTACCCCATTGTGCAATCTGTCATGGACAGAATTTCCTCTGGTAGCCCCCCTTTAACAACATCTCTCCGCTCACCCCGGACTAAAACCGCATTATCGTGTATTCTATGTTGCATATAGCATCGCTTGCAGTCCTATCGTCCCTCGGTGTGTGATAAAATGAGCTTCGCTTTTGTTGTGGGAAATCGACAGTCGTGATTGTATGGTGGATGAAATTGCCACTGCCATAGGACCGTGCAATTTCCGCCACTGGTACGCAACTGACTGCCTCCTGAGACGCGTGCTGCTTCATTGGCTTATGGAAAGAGACGGTGGCTGTCTGACTTTGTGAATTTCCATTTACGCCTCTTTTGTGTTTTTTTCTTTATTTGGCTTGTACCAACGTCTGTGTGTTGTTTCTTCTCTTCCTGTGTCAGTGCCATCTCTTACAACAATGCAGTACATTTACACCCCTGCCCTGTGATGAACAGGCCTCCCACAGCTCGACGTTTTGTGCAACATCTATAGATTAGAACCTGTATGCATACAAATTGTGTTGCTTAATTCTTGTCTCCGCTCTATCTCTCTGTTTGTACGGGTATGTTTTTACCTGATGATCACCGTGGTGCCCAGTGTTGGATTTCAATCGAGAGCAATGGTTATGAAGTAATCACTCTTAAGAAGGTTCCAGGAACAGCTCTGCATCAAGCCATCGTGATTGCACCACGCGCCTGCCCTACCGAGGAGTCTTAGCGTGTGACCATCTAAGGAAGTCCCACCGAATCCTACGCATTCTGCGGTGCCTCGTGATTTCCATTTGCTAACCTCCGTCAACATTCCCCACTGAAATGTAATTATACGGATAATTCCTTCCCCACCCCCCACCCCCTGTGTTCTTGCTGGCATGTGCTCTGGTGACATCCGTGAGGCGAGGTTGTGGAGTTTGCGTGCACGGGCGGCGCTGTTGGCAAATGTGCGCGACACACGTGGGTGTCTGTCCTTGGTCCTTGGCCGTGTCGGCAAGAGGCGGTGGGGAGCGGCAGAGGGGCGTGGAGCGAGAGCGGGAGAGAGAGTTGAGCTGACTGCCACATCGCCTACTGTACTGAAGGGGATGGGCCGAGCTCTTGCGAGTGCCGAGTGTGTGCCAGCAAGGAGGGGGAGGGCATCGTCACGATCGCGGGGATTTCATCAGCTTGAGTGGCGGACTCGTCCCATTGGTGGAGCTCTTGGCACTCCGTTTCGCCCGAGTCATTGTCAACTTTTTTTCCAGGCCAGTAAGCCCCCACCCCCCCCCGTTCGTTTAGATGAGACTCACAGCAAGATGGCCTTTGACCAAATCACCCCGAATGCCGCCGTCTGGGGTGCTAAGTCGTGATGTGCCTGGTGACGCTTGGAGACCAGCACCATGCATGATAGGTATTATAGGCGGCGGGGTGCATAAAAAAAACAGTGTTGTACTGTTTTTCTATGGTGCCACAACAGTGCTTCCTACCTTCACCATTTTTTTTATGGATCTCGGCCTGCGATATCCCAGTCTCGGTATGTGATAGCCGGATGTGGGCGTGTGATAGGCCCGATCTCAATACGCTTGAGCTGGAATTCACAGGTGGTGGCTAGAACAGGATGAGTAACGCCGGGTGGGAATGGCCAGTTGTTCATCTGTTTAACTTTTTTTGCCAGGATGGCTTAACGTTAAAAACCCCGCTAACTCCCCCCCCCCCATACCTATGCATCATGTAATGCACGAACTTGCTACTTTCTGGAAGAATGATGGATGCTGCAGTGATGAGTGCTTAGTGGTTGGATTCACCGCATTAAAGTCCTGTTGCACACATGAGTATTATTTTTCTGTCCCGGACGAAAGAATACTTGGCAAAGGCGTGTCGGAGTGAACAGTGAAAGGACGGCACCATTCCCAGCCGCCTCTGTCGCCCCAGTGCTGATGTTTACACCCTGCACCAAGAACTCAATTAAGGTTGAATCAACCTAGGTTAGGCCCCATGTCACTCGCCCACCTGATAGCCACGGCTGGGAATCGAACTCAGTTGCTGGATGTACACTGCGCACACAAATTCGTAGCACAGTGCGCAAAACCGCCTTTCCACTGTTGCCGGATAACGCGCGCGCAGACTTGCTCCCATCCGGTGCCGTCCTCCGCTCCTCTCCTACCCCAGCGCTCTTGAGAGTCGCGCTCTCACCATGTTCGCTCCGCTGCAGTAATGCTCGCTCGTCACCGTTACCTTTTACTGAAGAAACTATCGGACACACAACGACTCGACAGATCAATAATAATGTTCCTTTCATTCAGGGTAATTCTGCGGAAGCTCTAATTCAGTGGTGTGCAATCTGCGGCCCGCGGCCCGCATGCGTCCCGTGGAGCCCCTCGTAGTGGCCTGGTCTAAGTGTGTCTGGCGGGGCGATGCGTTAGGTCGTGATGTGACGCGGCCCACTGTGGTGAAGGAGGGCTGCTCTTGTGGCCCCACCGACCCGTCCGGATTGCCCACCACTGCTCTAGCGTCAGTGTTCCAAATTCTCTGGGCATTGCGTTACAGAGACGAGGAACAGAGTGACCACAGTTTAAAGTGCGGTTTTTGCTCTGCTGAGCTTGTAAGCTTTGTACAGTACATAGCTAAGTGCATTGTAAGAATTCTAAGAATACCCTAATTTTTTCAAAGCAATATATCGATCTGCGAATAGCACCGTGATGATGAGGCTGTTGCCTGGGGGAAGTGGCTTCAGATGGAGAGGGTTGTTTAATTTTCCATGTGCTGTTTTTGTCTGCAAGAGGTTTGTCATGTTTTACATCAGCTGCGTAGGCAAAGACCAATGCAATCAACGTGTGCAGTGAGAAGCGGTGAGCTTCTTGAATCCGGGCACTATGAGGCTGCAGGGACAGACGAAAGAACAGAGTTCCAAAGCCCAGGTGGGCGAGCAGAGAGTGAAGAGGCGCAAGGGGAGGGGCACGGTGGGCTACGTATGGTGCGAAAGAAGTTGGACAAACATCCAAGGAGGGGGGAGGAAGGGCGGGGGGCGATGCGCACAGCGTGGACCAGAGGAGTCGGGTCCGAGTGTGGAGAACGCGCCGCGGAGATCGGAGACAGAATTTGGGGATGCGGCTCCTGAGAGCGGTCGGTGACCACGAAAGAAGCAGGAGCGGAGGGACAAGGAGGAGACTAACGCTGACAGCAGCTGTAGCAACGACCGTGAGACCGAGGCAATAGCAGTGAGAGAAGGAACGGGACGGAAGGACGAGAGAGTGGCTGCAGTGACAACACTGATGTCGGTTGCGTTGGAGATAAGAAGGAAAACCATGATAATGAGGGCGGTTGGAGCAGAATCATTGATGATGGCGAACAGCTTCGTACAGACGTGGAACGGTGTCCATCGCAGCAGAGGTATATACCGAGAGCTGCATCCCAGACGCAACTGCCGGAACTCCAAGCTCGGCCACGCCCGTGAAACATCGCATTTGCTGGACGACGCCGATGTGTGTGTGTGTGCGCGCGTGCGGCGAGACTTCGCGACGTGACCCGGCACCGCCAATCGCACGGCGGCCTCCCCTTTGCTGTGGCGCAGGGCGCTGCCGCGACACTGAACCGGTCGAGCGAAGCCACCCTGCGGAGCCGCCTGCGAGCCACCATGAGTCTCCAGTGGACGGCCGTGGCGTCGTTCCTCTACTTCGAGGTCTTCATCCTCATCATCCTGTGCCTCCCGTTCATCTCTCCCACGCGGTGAGCGCCCTGTCCAACCGGAACGCAGGTGAACGCGCGTCGCTGCTTCTCCGGTGCTCGCGAGCGGCGTCTCCGTTGATGACCTTGAGCCGCCGCTGGGTGGACGTTGAACCCTTCCCAGGCGGGGCCCAGCCTCGCCACAGTGTCGAGGGGGGTGTGAATAGCTGAACGAGATCAAAGTGTAAACGTTTTAGATTTTTTGCCTCGCTCAACTCAGTTTTGTGGAAAGTGTTTTGGAGTTAATTAATCTTCGGGGGCAGCATCAACGCAGCTTTGCGGTGAATGCAGTGCAGCACAAGGCTACATAAATACAGTGCCGATTTTGTTTTCATTCACTTTAAACGTTTGTAACTTTTTCTTTCACGTAAACATTCGCTCCATTAAAAGCAGTCGAGCGTCCTGACTGCACAGGATGATAATGCCTGATGATTTTCCGCGTGACAGAAAGATTTTGGGATAAGTTCATCCAAAACGTGGAGGAGAAACTTGTGTCTCCGGGCGGCTCTCACTGGGCTGTAACGTTCGTGGTTTGCTTGCGGTGGGGGGGGGGGGGGGGGGTGGGCGGCCACTGCCGATTCCACCACAAGTGTGCCGCACGGCTCTGCTGCGCTAGTTTTCCGGGGCACACAAGCTCATGGGCAACCCTAAACCACGTCCGTACAAACCGTGGCAGCAGATGCGGATGCCGTGATGCACTGATGGAAAATAAATAAAAAATTATCCGGTGCGCGACTGTGGTCACTCAGAACAGAACCACGGAACCTAGAACAACAACCTGATGCCTGATTCACCAATACTAAGGAGGCATCGTCACAGAGACATTCTCCGCTGCTCATGATGCAATAATCAGGCTCAACCACCTCAGTGTGGTTGCATCAAAATCAGCCATACGGAGAAGGAGATGCCAATATTGGTAGCGCCCTTCAGTGGTTAAAAAAATGTGTCGGTTCCTATTCAGTTGTGCTGTGGATAAAGCCAACTAATGTATGCTAACGAATAGACAGGAGTTTCTTATGGGTGCTATTGCTTTCGCCCTATTGATGGCAACATTTCCACAGTTGTGTTTTTTTTTTTGCACCTGTGCTGTGAGCGATGGCTGATGATAATGGGACCCCACGACGTTCGCAGGTGATAAGACGTTCGTGGACGATTGAGTGTTTGAAAAAAATAGAGTCGAGTTATTCAATATGCTAAGCGACACTATGCCGCTCCTTTGCATTGCTTGTCACAGCATTGTCATCCACAAGCCAGTACCAGCCTGCCCTCCAGACAGGGATACTGAGCTTATATTCTTAGTTCTTTCGGTAAAGTCACGTTGAAGGGAAACAACAAAATAATAAAATATATATAAAACAACGTGACTTTACCGAAAGAACTAAGAATATGAATTACTGCAGTCACGAAAGCTTTAAATCAAAGATACTGGGCTTGTATGAATTATTATATATTTGGGAAGTTCCCTAAGTTTGTCCCAATTGTGCTGTCGGCGTGACGCCATGAGACTAAGTGTACCCCCGACGTGTCAGCGAATGGCCCTGTGGAACTACATCTGAAATCAATTGAAGTGACCTCTGGATTACAACACAGAGGGCAGCACTTTCCGTCCAACTCTGAGAATACGGTTCATTGCATGACAACAAAACCGATGTTTTAATTTTCAGAGCTGGAATTGAGCCAAACTCAGTGCAGAGCAAAATGTAATGCCCATCTTTGTTTGTGCAGTCATTGGTGAACTGGGCGGGCAAGATCTATCAATTCGCTGCGCCTGAGAACTCGTTTTAACCACACGCAGCTCGAGCCTGGATTTAAACGCAGGATCTCAGTGGTGCCGACTCGGCGCTCCGACCTCTGAGCCGCCTGGCTCAGAAGTCGTTGCGAAAGAAGTTCAGCATACATAATGAAACACGAGTGGCCTCAAGCGTCATTGGGCTTCACCCTCTACCGCCCGCCCAGTCACTTTGTGCATGAGGCCCCCTGCTCTCACCTCTGATAGGTAGCACCACCACTCACCGCGATTAGCGTGGTGTAACCCTCCGGGCGCGGCGTTTTGATCACCTTCGAATCGTTCACACATCGCTCATCACCGATACCAAAGTTCCCTGGATCCATCCGGTACAATTGAGCCCTTACTCAACTCCGCGTGATCTAATATACTCATGAGCTTCTTGACGTAGAGCCCAACAAACCAATGGAGTTTCTAACATGCGTATATATAAGGGTGTCAAGAATCACAACGGCTGCAGGATCTAGCAGAAGGCAACCGGCGACGGCAAGGTGTGGTAGCGCCAACGCATTAGCTGTGATGACCTCGTGATATGACTCATCACCAGTTATGTACCATAAAAGACACACAAATATTTTTTTTTACAATCTCAGGTGGTATCCACGCATATCCGGGTGACTCCGGTGGGCTACCCTGACGATCTATCCTCGGCGGCAATCGCGTGGTTGGAGTTGTAATCGATGGAAAAAAAAAATGCTGACGTGTAAAAATTGTCCGTGCTCCTGCGTTTTTGCAGATGGCAGAAGATATTCCGGTCGCGCATGCTCACGATCGTGGTGAACTACGCTAACTTCTACTTCAACGTCTTCATCCTCGTCCTCGTGCTCCTGTTCATCGGTGAGCGAGTGACAGCTGTTGTGGTGGCGTACGCAGCTCGCCAGCGGGCACGAGTGGCAGGGGCGCGGGGCTAGGCCCGTGGCAAATGGGCACCGGGGCAGTGCTCTCCGCCATCGGCGGCCCCCGGGTTTAAGTGGAGGAAATTCCACATTCCTGTGACGGGACTTAAAAGCACTGTTGTCTTCATATTCTTGGTTCTTTCGGTAAAGTCACCACGTAGAAGGGAAACAATAAAATAATAAAAATATATAACAATAAAATTATCACGACGTTTCGACTGCAACACAAGCAATCATCATCAGGTGTGAAAACCACAGCAAGAAAATTTGAAAAAAGTGGCGGTTTTTTTAACGTTAGCACCACGTAGAGCGATTTGGCATTTGTTCAGATGGACGAGTCCATCTATGTTCGGAAAAGAGGAGGAGGGAGACGAAAATAATGGATGCGGTCTGAAAGCCACCGTAAGCGTGAACAATCATTTAAGACCCAAAATCGTTTATCAAATCCTTCCAATGATTGCTAAGCCAGAATCCATCTTCTCGGTTGAAATTGTCTCTGTGTTTGTATATGTGGATAGCCTCATGAACGAATCTCTCATGGTAGCCAGATGGGTTGCAAAGAACCTCTGTCTTGGAGAAGTCAATGTCATGTGAGCCTACTGAATTATTACAGTTATCTGCCACGGCCGAGGTGTTGGTCCTTCCGTGTTTTAGGTCTGCTTTGTGTTCTTTGCAAGCCATCTGGCTATCATGAGAGATTCGTTCATGAGGCTATCCACATATACAATCACAGAGACAATTTCAACCGAGAAGATGGATTCTGGCTTAGCAATCATTGGAAGGATTTGATAAACCATTTCGGGTCTTAATTGATTGCTCACGCTTATGGTGGCTTTCAGACCGCATCCATTATTTTCGTCTCCCCCTTTTTTCTGAACATAGATGGACTCGTCCATCTAAATAACTGCCAAATCGCTCTCCGTAGTGCTAACGTTAAAAAAAAAACGCCACTTTTTTCACATTTTCTTGCTGTGGTTTTCACACCTGATGATGATTGCTTGTGTTGCAGTCCGGAACGTCGTGATAATTTCATTGTTTAATATTTGTATTATTTTATTGTTTCCCTTCTACGTGGTGACTTTACCGAAAGAACCAAGAATATGAATCCCTGCAGTCAACAAAAGCTTTAAATCAAAACTGTTGTTTAACTCGTTCTTGTCGCCCCCGTCGAGGGATGACGGCGATAGCCTTCAGCGCCCCGGCGGGGCTTTGAACCGCAGCGCCGCGCGGCCCGCTTGTGCCGCGCTGCACAGCGGCGTAGAGATCCCCCGCTCACTGCGACGATTCCGCAGACGGATGGCGCGAGTCGCGCAAGTACTCGACCAGCGACAACGTGGACCTCAAGAACAACCCCATGGCCATCGACCACGTCAACATGAAGCTCTTCCGCGCGCAACGCAACCTCTACATCTCCGGCTTCGCGCTGCTGCTCTGGTTGTAAGCGTCGCTCGCGCGCTGGACAGGCGGAACCGCGTCGGACCTTCGCCGCCGCCCTGAAGCCGTCGGGGGCGACGCGTCGTCGCGAAGAGAGGCCCCCGGCGCGGGGGGCGTCCACGGGCGGCGGTGCCCTCGCGCACGCGGGCGGTGCCACGGATATGAGGCGGCCTCTCCCGTCGAGCCGTCGCGGTGGTTGATTCATTTTTAATTGGAACGGAGCGTCGCTGATGCACGTCGCAACTCGCCTCGCCGTAGGCTTTGTTGACGCGCGCAGCTTTCGCTCGGAGGCAATCCGCGGGCAAGCGGCGGGGCAGCCGGAACCGGCGCTGCCATCGGCTGCCTGGGAGGCGTGGCCAAAACCGTTCGCGAGCGTGCGCGTGCGAGGAAATTGGAGTGCCAGGACAAAACCCACATGGGCGAGGGGGGTGAAGTACGGTTAGTTGTGCGATCCACCAACCCACGCTGGCTACACAGTGCTGCATTACAACGGTGCATGGCCACCAGGTTTCATCCCCAAGGTGACTATCTGATGCATAGTTTTAAAAAAATATGCCTGATTGTTGGAATAAGTCGTTGGCCTGACACGCACGCTTTCAGATTGTATGCAATTGGCTCATGTAGAGGCAGCGATTCACCGCGGTGGCAGATGATCGGCGATTCCGGAGTCGAATCGTGCCTTGCGCACAGACGGAAACTAATCGTTAATCGGTGCGCGCGTTTGTTGCTTGACGCGCCCACCCACCCCCCCATCCCGTCCCGTGCCGCTTGCAGCGTCCTGCGCCGTCTCGTGATCCTCATCTCGCAGCAGGCCACGCTGGTGGCCACCAACGAGGCCTTCAAGAAGCAGGCGGAGGGTGCGAGCGACGCGGCCAGGAAGTACATGGACGAGAACGAGAAGCTGAAACAGGTCTCCCCCATGCCTCGCCCTGCCCCCCACGTCGTCGCCATTCCACCGTCACTCGCCGCCGCCGCCGCCGCCGCGTTGTGCAATAGCGGTGGACGGGGGGGGGTGGGTGGAGCGGTGGCTAGCGCACCGAGCTGTTGAACCTGCCAGCCCGAGTTCGTTTCCCAGCCATGGCTAGCAGTGGTGGCGAGTGATTGATAAATTGGCCGTGGGCAGGACCCTCCCTTCGCCAACCCGCACCGACCAGCGCGGTGAAGTACGGTGGAAGGATCCCCATGACTGACACGGCACTGGGAAGCCTTCATCCAGCAGTGGATTTAGAAGGACTGTAAATTGCGCCGATTGCTTGGTCGAGAAAGCCTTGAGAGGGAGGTGAAGAGCCAAGGGCTGTCTCCTCGCTCCAACGTGCATTCAGCAGCACTTCTCTCTTGGCCATTGTGAGCCAGGTTTGTGGTGATTCCACGTCGGTGGCAAGGTGCCCGGGCTCCCTCGCCCAACAACCACCGTCCCGAGTTCCCACAAGGTGGTGCTCCTTTTATTAGCCCTGCGTGTATTATGCACCGAGTTCACCCCTTGACCAGCATTGAACCTTTCGCCCTTCCGCTTGGGATGCCGATGCTCCAAGCACAGCAGCACCCAGCCAGAATTCGGGAAACCTTGAGCCCTGTCCTGAATGCACATCGTTGCTTTAACGGGCACATTCGGAGTCGTGGTAAAACCGTTGACATTTAGGAACTGACCACAGGGCCAGCTGATCAACAGGATATGTACGAGTGTGTGTGTGTTTTTTTACGAGTTGGCATTTCTTCATTGGAGATTGTGAAGGTGAGAACACTATTGCTACCCGGGGAAAAGCCTCGCTGAGTGTCAAGACTCTTATGCAGAAGAGCCCCTTGCATGCTGTTGTTTTGCAAATTCCATTCGTAAGCGTTAGGCTTCGTGCGGGAGGCACCCTGACAATCCTTGGCGAAGTCTCACCCACGCACTGGACACTCCACTCTGGCCCCTCCTAGCCACCTCACAGGTGCCTGAGAGACGATGCATGCGCCGCTGTTCACGACGAGCCCTGGCGCTGCCCTAACCCCCCTTCCTCCCCTCCCTCCCCATGCTCGCCGTCGCGCGAGTTTAGGCTCTCGAAGAGTCGGGCGCGGGAGACGGCGTGCTCAAACTGGCGGACGAGAAAGAAAAACTTTCCAGGGAGCTCAAAGAGGCCAAGGAGAATTTGGACACAACGAAGAAAGGTACGGCCTGGGGAACGACACGCATCGCAGAAGGGGTGCTGGAAGAGCCGGCGAGTCGCGCCTCTTGGGCCAGGCGCGGGGAATGTACGTAGCGGTCTCCAACCGCGGTGGCTTCTTTTAACTAACGCCTTCCAGATTGTTCTCTTTCATCAATGAATGTTTTATTTTTTTTACTTGCGGCAGGAACCCGGAGAAAAGCCACCGCAACACCACTCGACCTTTGCACAAATGCGTGATGAACCTGCTTCCTGTACTGTGCACTGCAGGCACCGCCGGGCTGAACGCACGGCGCAGTTAGAGGTTGTGTTGTTGTTAATGCTCGCGTTAATGAGGCCGGCAGAGGGGACTCGAGGATTGCCGTTACTCGTTGCCGGTCGTGTCGCCGGACACGCGTGGCTTTAGACGAAGTAGCGCAAATCGCCCGGCGCCTGTCACGAAATTGTCGCCTCCTTTCTGTGCCAGCGCTGGTTCGCTCCGAGAACGAGTGCAGGGCGATGAAGTCGCAGGCGGAGGGCGTGGCGACTGAGTACGATCGTCTGCTGGAGGAGCACGCTCAGCTGCAGGTGCTCGTTTCGTCAGCGCGCCCTCGCGGCTCCGCGGGCTCCCAAGGGACCTTGCGGATGGCACCGAAACGGCATTTTGGCTGACGCCTCGAGAGGAAGCCACGTTTTGGCCACGTGTGGTGAATAACCGGCTCCTCTCGTGTAGCGAGTTCACGAGCTCGGTTTCAGGGCCACCAATGGCGGTCGAAAACCATTCTCCGTTAAGCTTGGTTTGTGGCTTCATTTGCAGATTGCAGCTTTTAGAATAAGCTGTTTTGGTTTCATTTACATGCAATGGAACTTGTGCCACCTATTGAAAGGTACTTGAGAATTTGTTTTGTGATGTCATCTTCTGGGGTACACAGGCTTCATAATGGACCATTGTAAAAGTTCTAAATGTAAATTTCTTTGTCGTGTGACGTAATGAGGAGGTGTCATTTGTGACGTGAGTAGTTTTCCTTCAGTCTCAACAGAAAAAGAAAGATGCAGAGGCATGGGAAATCACACAAAAGTGGGAAGCCATTCATAAGCTGTACCACAATAATTGCCCAAGCTCTGTGGTCCTATATTGGGATGTTTGGCCAACATGATGCCCCCGAGAGCACAATTAGAATACAATTAAAAAAAACTTTTAGAAGCAAGAAATGTGTCCGAGACTTTGTGTTGTTTTATTGACCCAGGAGGCAGTCACTGTTCTGGTCTCTTGAGTTCTCACCGCCTGAAACTTGAGGCTGAACATCAATCGGTGACTCTGTCTTCTTGCAGAAGCAGCTGGAAGGATCTCCGAGCAAGAAGGACGAGTAGAAGCCACGTGGAGGCTGTGCAGGCCCCGTCGGCCGCCTGGTTGCGGTGTTTTGTCATTGTGGCTAATTGCCAGGGTCAGTGAAAAATCAACATTAGCTCAGTCATGTTTTCATTGTGCTTAATTTGCTTTTTCATGTGTTCTTAATTTTCTCATCGTTGCTAGTTTTCAGTGCGGGTGGTTGCGTGGATATCTGTCCACTGATGTGTGTAACGAGTCGTTCACTGTTATTTTTGGAGGCAATGAAACCCCTTTTATATTTTGCATGAAAACAAAACTCTCTTGCAAAGATGTGTACGTGGGTATATGACCGCACCATTGGGAAAAGCGCCGAGTGCCATCGTGAACATTAAACACCACGTGGCTTTCTCACATGTGCGTCGTGGTCATATTCAGTATAGGGGCGAGTTATCACCGCCAAGTTGCAGAGATCATTTGAACTTTGCATTTTGCAAATGGGATATGATCTCAAGCGACAAACGCCCGGTTATATGTGAAGAAAATTGTATAGAATTGGTCCATGTGTTTACACGCGCAGCCAGTGCAGCAGGCAATATTATGAGCGCCGATTCACGCAATGTGTCGAATCTCTTGTCGCGTTGGGGAGATGCTTAAATGACCCCGTTAGATTGTACTCTGTTGTATTTTCATTGACCCTGACGGTTGTCAAGTACAATGTCTCGGTGAAGCTCTACAAAGGCTTTTGACTCTCTACGGCTGAACGTTCTGAAGACCTGTGATCTTGTTAGCTGTTGTAACCCACAGCATGTCTCAAAACCCCGTGTGCTTGCAAAGGCTCGCTTGTGATTGGCTGTGCCCCCTCCCCCCCCCCCCCTCGGAGGAGCGTCATGCCGGTGTTACCACAACTCGCCGTCGCTGTTTACGGATCCTTCCCATTTAAAAATAAAAACCCACCTATTCCTGATGACCGCTGCAATATTGTGCTGCCCACAGTTTGTGCCCTCGTACATTTAGACGAGTCTTTGTCGTTAAACCAAAGCGGGGAGTGCCCTTGTACGGGTGCCGCTCTTTAAAAGCCACGCGAATGCCAACTCGATAGCAAAGTAGAGCAATGCTTGCGTGCAGGGTTTTTCTTGTTGATGGCTGATTGCTACGGTAGTCAACGTTACGCAGTGGAAACCAGTCGTTGTGCCTATTGCTGATGGTATAAACTGTATCGCGCAACACGTGTGTGTGTGTGCTTATTGTAAGAAGTCTTGAATCTCTGAATTTGGGGATGATCGGAGTGGCCGCGGCAGTTCCACACCACTCTAACCTGTGTCCCTCTGTGGACGCTGTCACATTTTCCCAAAGGTAGCCGAATTCAAAAGTTCGCTGCAAAGATAGACAGAAGCCACAGCTGGTTATATTTACGTTCCGTTTCATGAACATAACTTCCAGTTATTTGAATGACACGTTTTTTTAAAATTTCAACGTTGAATTATGTGGGGGAATCCACGAGACATCACTGATCCGCGATCGTCCAGGAAATGTGAAGTGCTTCTCGCCATTGTAAAAATCGTCACACGCATGGACTGATGTGCAAATACCACCACGGTCGTCCACCATGGATAACAGAACTATTCAGTCCGGCATCGGGAACCACACACATATTCGTGCGTCGTGATCATCTACAGCAGAGGCGGCAGCAGGGTTATGCATATTTTTGGAAAACTACGCATGCTGAATTTTACCTTGATATAATAGGTAATGTGGCGTAACAACCATTGCATTGTGGGTAATGGCCATGCCAGCATGTTACCACTGTATCTACAAGAGCTGATGGAGAGGTCTGTGTCCCGACGTAGCAACGCGTTACCTCATTGGAGCCGAATTTTTTTTAACAGGGGTCCCCTGAATGTGCAATGGCCTCGCTTCGTCATCGATGTCCCGAGGAAATGCCCCCACTCCTGAAACCGCTCGTTTGCATTACGCGTTGATTCGCTGCGACTAGAAAAGAACTTTCCCCACGATTGCTGCTCTCACTGTGGAAACGTGGAGGATACTGTGACCTGGGACTGGTGCGGGGTTCTCTCCAGATTTGTCTGAATCATCCTAGAAAGTGTTTCGCGATTCCTCCCGACTTGAGATTTCTACGTCTTGTTTAGGTAGCGCGCAAGGTGGTTTCAAACACCGATAGGACTTCGCAGCTGATACATTTCCGTCCAGTTGGTGAACCATTAATAATAAGGCACAGACATAAATTTAGTTTTAAAGCTTTCGTGACTGCAGGGATTCACATTCTTGGTTCTTTCGGTAAAGTCACGTATAATGGAAATAATAAAATAATACAAATAGAACAATAATGATGTTTTACAATGATTTTATTATTCCCCTTCTACGTGACTTTACCGAAAGAACTCGTGTCAAGCCCCCCACAGACTTTTCACTCACCTCTCGTAGGTACCAACACAGCCACCTCTGATGTTTGTGTTTTGTTTTTCGTGACCCACGCTTTGATGTGTGCAGTGTTAGCAGTCGAACTTTGTACATTTTGTTGCTCGTCAGGGGCGGAGCCAGGATTTTGACTTTGGCGGGGGGGGGGGGCTGACTTCAATATTCTGAGATATCCAGTGTTTGTTTCCCAATGGGCGCCACAAATGTATAAAACACATTATTGGATTTGAACGCGGAGTTTATTAATAGGTCGGAGCCGCTGATGTGGCTAGTAAGTTCGATAAGTTCGAAAGGCTGCCGCTCAAGCAGTTTGCAGGGCAGCACACAAGGTGGCAGCCTGCAGGGCAGCACACGAGGTAGTAGCCTGCAGGGCAGCACACGAGGTGGCAGCCTGCAGGGCAGCACACGAGGTGGCAGCCTGCAGGGCAGCACACGAGGTGGCAGCCTGCAGGGCAGCACACAAGGTGGCAGCCTGCAGGGCAGCACACAAGGTGGCAGCCTGCAGCATTTTGCAGCAGCCTGTTATCCCGATTACCGACTTTCCCAAAATTTCAGGGGGGGCTAAGCCCCCCCCCCAGCCCCCACTGTGGCTCCGCCCCTGTTGCTTGTACTTTGGTGACTTCAAATGTTTCTGGGGGAACTTTAAAGCTTGATCCATATATATTAAAACAAAGGTTTATTTGTTTAATGCGGTTTTGTCTTCGCCAGTTTTTCAAAACCGAGGCGAAACATTAAACGTATATATTAAAAATATGACGTCAACGTTTGTATGCCCGCTGTTCCAAATGAAAAGTTTGAATGTATCCATTGTTTACTGTCGGCAATACCAGTAACTGTGGCAAACGTGCACTGGGTGTCCTTTAGTATCTGCGAGGCAGCCTCTGAGTGCACATTAACGTTAGCCACGGAGCCCAGCACTGCTTCGTGACAGCTGGCAAGCAAGACGCCTGCTTTCGGGGTCATTGTTAAGAGTTCAATGTGGCCACGTGGTGCCACGCTGAGTGTACTTCACTCGCAAGAGTTGGACGGTTGTGAATTCAGGTTCCGGTTAGGGACAGACTCGGCCTATCGCCTCTCTCCAGGATACAAAATAATCATTAGCGGGCTTGGCGGTGAAAATAACAACAACGACATCCATCACCTGCTTCACATATCCGTCTCCATGTAAAAAAATCTACACCTTTTTTTGGACATCCCATAAGCCACGCGGCCTTTTGGGAGCGCATCATATCGGCTGAATTGGTTCAACGCAACCATACAACATGCCTATACAGGTCACCATACTTCGATGGTGATGAACTGTGAGCAGACGATAACAGCTACTTCCATTTCTTGCACGCAAAAACGGCAGGATGTACATGCATGGCGCGCATGCATAATGTATGTTGATTACCGTATCAAGAACCCAACCGGTAATGGGTGTCCATTATCATTTAACATGCACACATTAACGCCACTGCCTAACTGGTCTTTGCAGCTGATTGGATCACAAGCGACGACATCACATTTATCCCTCGGAGACCAAAACAGGAGGATTTCTCCACAAATCTGGCTGTCGCCTGATTATGCTAGTTGTAATTACTGGCGAAGCGTCGTACGTGAATTGTAAATGTCGGTTTACTCTGCAACACACCGGTGTGCTGTACTAGTAAAGGATTGCCATGTTTTGTTTACGTGACAAACCTTACCGATTGGCTGTGTCGGGTTGTGGTGGCTTTAACGACAACATTTACACGATCTAACCCACAAACCTCATGGATATTGGTCGCAAAAGCCTACGTGTCTCGTCAGCAGTCAGGCTTGTTTGATTCATTGCTAATGAGCTGCCAGATGTTTATAGGCAAAAGGAAGCTCTCTTAGATATGGGTCTCGGTTCAACGGAAAACCGTTTAATACATAATACGTGGTGGTGGTGGAGGTGGCTAACGCTGAAGTAGCAGTATTGTGGCGTGAAGTGCTTTTCCAACGTGCATTGCCAAAAACAATCATCTTTCAATATACATTTTATTTCAAGCACAAGCATTGCCCTATAATTCTACAGAATATACTCGCTACGTTCAATCCGCTCTAGGTCCTATAGATTCACTCCCCTGAAGATTCCCAAGATTCCCACCAATGTGTATCATGTCAGAGTATATTCACACCAACGTGAATCCTTTAGACTCCTCGAAAGTTGTCTCCTCTTTTAAAAGAGCGCCTGTGCCTGTGTGAATACGAGCAACGGGGGAGACAAAGGCAGCCGGGAGTGGACGCAGAAGCACGCACGCACGCCCCCTTGCTCTCCACCGCGCTCACCTGAACAGGCGCTGCAACGAGGTGTTCGGGTGCGACGTTTAATGTCTTAACCTCACACCTTTGCTGTCGTGGGGAGGGGGGTGGGGGGGGGGATGCTTGCGCTGGTCGCCCCGCAAGTTCTCCGCCCATCCCCGACACCTCGTTCCGCAGGTGTCGCTGTGCGTGTCGTGTCGACGCGCGTTGCATCCACACCCCCCCCCCGCCCCTCCTCCCCCCGCGGTGCGAGCCCCCCCCCCCCCCCAGAGGCCCCGGAGCGCGCTGTGGTAACGGTGATGCAGATGTTAGCCAATCGACAACCCGGCCAAAAATGTGGCGTGTCACATCTGTGATGGGTGATTGCGTCGGGCTGTCCGATGTTCTCATATTACAGCGCCCCCCCCTCCTCTTCACGGGGTGGAGACGCCACCTCGGGGGGGTCCTAACCACCACCCCCCCCCCCCCCAATTCCACGCATTCCTCCTCCAGGCGGCTGTCACAACAGCTTACCTGACATGTCCACGTGCTTTTACTGTTGCCTGGGAACACGTCCTTGCGAAGTGTGCGTGTTTCTCTTGCTGCTTTTATTACATTCACAGCCCCCCTTTTATGGAACCGGTCTGAGAGCCTGTCGATATTTTTTTTATTCCCTTACCGGGCAAGCGGCAGCAGCAGCTATTAATTCTGAGGTGTGGTCTCGCGTGTTTACATATCCACTGTAGCATAATTCGTGCGAATTGCGTCTCAAAAGGCGCGAGTAGAATTTGAACCAGAGTCGTCTTCCGCAACGGCAGTGCGCAGAAAGAGGCAAGCGTAAAGGAAGGCATCCAGAACCGGTGCCGACACATTTCCCAAGCTCTGAGATCCTATCATGGTACGTATGGCCAACTCCCATGAACGAGGGGTGTTTCTCCACGTGCCGTGTCAACGGAGCGGGAGACGGGATTCTTGAGTAGGCACCTTTTATTGAACACTTTCAGGTTCACCGTGTTCGCCCTCGCTTCTTCCAAGTCGTATAGCCTAGCCTCGCCACAACCCTGGCCGTGTTACACCGACGGCGTCCACCGAGACAGCCAACAACTATCCCAATGCGCAATATCTAGTGACGACGGCAGCGACTAAGTCGGCACAGACAACAGTGACGACGGGACGAGTCCACTTCCCAGAACCTGCAGCCACGAGCTCTCGGCTCTGCGCTGCTTTTTATCCTACTCCCTTCTTGAACCCACTGGCGGGTTCCAGGGGTTTCCCGACAGGGTCTCTGTGACACTTGCCACAGTTCCTCCGCCCTGCCGGCACACCGGCGTAAGTACCGCTCGTCCATCGCAGTTGCTGTGTCACTACACGCGCAATGAAACGGAAGCATCCGGAGAAAAGTCGCGCACGCGTGAGATCCTGGGTTCGTCGTCGTCGTCGTCATCATCGTTGATCTCGTGCCTGGCACGGACACAAAACAATTCCCGAAGCGCCGACGGCATCAAGAAGCACGACCGTAACAGTGTAAATATGAATCCACGAAAACGGTTGCAGTGGTCGGTCGATTGATCCAGTGGCCAGGTGGATTATGGGGGCTCATAAAGGCCATGTTAGTCGGAACACCCGAGCCTGCACTGGTGAATTTTTTTTATTTGAATGTTGGTTTCAGCCCCCCCTTGAGTAAACCGGTGGTCTCGAGTGTAGTGAATGGATGTGCCTTAGCTCACTCACCAATGAATAAACAACAAAAAAACTAAAATATTTATTAGCTTTGGTTTGTAAATTCACGCGGATTGACCTTGGGTTTATTGCCATGCAGCGACCACATTATAGCCCGTATAGAACGTGTGCCACTTAGCGTGAGCTAGAGGGGTGATTCACTAAAGGGGCGAGTGATATCTGATCCAGCCTGCAGACACGCCACCTTTAATAATCCGCACGAACCACCATGGTGATGAGCCACAGCGTGGGGAGGCCTTCAGTCAGTGGCCTTATAAACAGCTGAACATTGTAAACCAAATAAAGTAACATTTGTCTTTCAACATACAATGTTTTTTTTTCAGTTCATTCGCTGCACGTGGCCTTTCCATGCCAGTATTATCTGGTCGCATTTGTTTACAACAAGCAGAGTCTGGACTGGTTTCAACCTTCAGGATCCCATCAGCAGCCAGGCTCGTTAAAACCGGTCCTCGGAGTGCTTGTTAAAAAAACTTCGCTGCTTAATAATATTGATCTGGAAATTCGCTTAGGCTGATTGAACGAACGTGCGTTTTATGCGGAGACATGATCGCTGCTGGTACATTTGTCAATTATAATTTTAATCAAAATCGTCAACAAAAGCAAAGCGGCGGCGTTGGCCCATGGGTTCAGCTTGATCACGCTGAGCGTTGCAAGGTTGTGACTCCGCACTCTGGCTGTTGGCCACTGAGCCACATCCTCCAGACACGTCCGGGACGGTGGTCTCAACAGGGCTCAAGTCTCGCGATATTGACTGCGAGATGATTCAAGAATCGATTTGGGAGGTTTTTTTTTTGCTTTCTGTGTCGTTACATATTATCGTCTCTCGTTGCATAAAGCCTTTCAGGGTTGGTTGTAGGCTTCATGGATGATGGTGTCACACGCTGCACTACATCCCACACACGATCAGGGTTGAACCGTGCACGGAGTTTATCGGAGGGACATGCCAGTCAGTGCCGCTTGCTGTATTCAACATAATTATTCTTAGAATAACGCGCACCAGCAGATAACATTTACCTCCTTCCGAACGTCGCCAGCTACGTTCCGAGCATGGTTTGGTTTTTTTTCTTGCCAGCTGGGAGAGTGGGGCGGCATTCAGGGGCAGTGACTGTTGAATGACAAAACGGGGACCTGGTCTCTGGCATGGAACGTCGTGGCTAGGAAGGGGTCGAGACTAAGCGTGGAGTGGCAGCCACACGTCCGACGGGATATCCACCCGCAGTCTGATCGATATGTTTGAGACACTCATGCACGCCGACAACAGATGGAGAAGCGAGGGTTGTTGGCGGTGTTGCTGCTTGGGAGGAGGGTCTGGCCCGCAACCAACGAGAAAGCACTCTGCCCTCTCGATCCGCAGCGTGGGTACACTGCCGCCCTGTGGCCACGGTGATCTTCTGCACCTGCGGTGAGTGAGAGGGGCGCCGAGGGTGTTTAAGAGGCGACAGTCGGTGTCAGCGAGGGCCATTGATCACATAGAAAAGTTAACGACGCAACTCGAAAAATTTTCAAGTTTCATTTATTAGGTAGAGAGCCCTGTGAGCCATGCGGCTCCTGAGTCTGGTGCAACCGCAACAAACAAAAAACATGAACAGAGAAACGTCTTAAACATGAACAGAGAAACGTCTTCAACATGAACAGAGAAACGTCTTAAACATGAACAGAGAAACGTCTTAAACATGAACAGAGAAACGTCTTAAAGCTTCTGGCCTTCCCAATGCGCAGGCTTGGGTGATGCTAGGACCTCTGCACGGCAGACTGTGACCAAATCACCACAAAATGCGCCCGGTATTTTTGAGATATCGAATATGTAGTAAAGTATCGGTGAGGCTGGTTTAGTGTTTTGGTGTGATGATGATGCGGAGGTGCTTGTAGGTTACCTCGTTAGGTTCGTCGTGGACAGTGCAGGGGCAGTCGTAGGGGTGGGGTGGTCTGATGACAAAGTGATATATTTTTTTTTACTGGACATCTGTAAATGAATAAGAGCTTCATGGCTCATCGGATTCCTCCAGTATAAACACACATTCTGATTGTATTGACATGGCCACTAAAACTCGCGTTATCAACCCTCACTGGGATCGAAATGAAAAAAATAAAAGTGATCTCGTACACCAACTTCCTTTTATTGGCGAAATAAACGGCACCGCCGATGTCTGTGACCTCAAGTTCTCTGGAAATGTTTTGAGAAGTCGCCGGGTTTCCTCCTAGAAAAATACAATTATATTCCTTAGGTCTTCTTATCTCTGTGACTTTACCGAAAGACCCAAAGAGTGTGAATTCCTGCAGCCACGAAAGCTTTAAGTAAAAACAAAAATACAATTACCTACTCCACAGGCAGAATGATGAACACGCGTGCCATTTACAAATCGCCTCCTTCACCACACTCAGTGCATGAACAAGGTCGTGTGAATATTCGTTAAAGGAAGCAGACCTTTAATCCGTGTAACGGGCTGCTCAAACATGTGTGACTTGAATAAGGGGCCGTCCATAAATGACGTCACGCACCTGGGGGGGGGGGGGGTCAGACGTGTGACCATGTGTACCGTGGGGGGGGGGGGGGTTTGAGAAATGTGACGTCACATCAAGATGCGCAACTTTAAATAAATATAGGCAACACGTTCTACTTAATTAGACTTTTTAATTAATGTTTTCTCCTACAACATCAGAGTGCAGCGCCACATTAAATACGCACTACAATAACAATAGTTTAAAGCGATTTGAAGCATTTTTGGGGGGGGGGGGGGGCAGAGCTTTGTGACGTCATTTGAGGGGGGGTCTGACTTTTTGGGACGCCGTGTGACGAGGGGGTCAAAAACGTCCAAAATCGCGTGACGTCATTTATGGACGGCCCCTAAGCACCCCGATTGTTTCACGTTGCTAAAGGGTTCTGAATGGCTTGGTACCGTGTTCAGCGAGGCTGCACGCATAAGCAGCAGCAGCAGTAAGCCAGTGATGGCTACGCTCTAATGACGAGACCTCATCACCGCGATAGAGCCAGTGTACAGCTGCCGTGTTGTCCTGCTGCCTGAACGTAAAAAGGCCACAATCTCGGCTGTGTTGAACTTAACTTGACACGGCCATTATAACCCTCACGTGGCCATCACGAACTTGACGCGGCCCTCCCTCGAGAACCTGACATGGCCATGACGAACCTGGCATGGCTATCATGAACCTGGCATGGCCATGACGAACCTGACATGGCTATCATGAACCTGACATGGCTATCATGAACCTGACATGGCTATCATGAACCTGACATAGCTATCATGAACCTGACATGGCTATCATGAACCTGGCATGGCTATCATGAACCTGACATGGCTATCATGAACCTGACATGGCTATCATGAACCTGACATGGCTATCATGAACCTGACATGGCTATCATGAACCTGACATAGCTATCATGAACCTGCCATGGCTATCATGAACCTGGCATGGCTATCATGAACCTGACATGACTATCATGAACCTGACATGGCCATGACGAACCTGGCATGGCTATCATGAACCTGACATGACTATCATGAACCTGACATGGCCATGACGAACCTGGCATGGCTATCATGAACCTGACATGGCTATCATGAACCTGACATGACTATCATGAACCTGACATGGCCATGACGAACCTGACATGGCTATCATGAACCTGACATGGCCATGACGAACCTGACATGGCTATCATGAACCTGGCATGGCTATCATGAACCTGACATGGCTATCATGAACCTGACATGGCCATGACGAACCTGGCATGGCTATCATGAACCTGACATGGCTATCATGAACCTGACATGGCCATGACGAACCTGACATGGCTATCATGAACCTGACATGGCTATCATGAACCTGACATGGCTATCATGAACCTGACATGGCCATGACGAACCTGACATGGCTATCATGAACCTGACATGGCTATCATGAACCTGACATGGCTATCATGAACCTGGCATGGCTATCATGAACCTGACATGGCTATCATGAACCTGACATGGCCATGACGAACCTGGCATGGCTATCATGACCCTGACATGGCTATCATGAACCTGACATGGCTATCATGAACCTGACATGGCTATCATGAACCTGACATGGCTATCATGAACCTGGCATGGCCATGACGAACCTGGCATGGCTATCATGAACCTGGCATGGCTATCAAGAACCTGACATGGCTATCGTGAACCTGACATGGCTATCATGAACCTGACATGGCCATGACCCTGACATGGCTATCATGAACCTGACATGACTATCATGACCCTGACATGGCTATCATGAACCTGACATGGCTATCATGACCCTGACATGGCTATCATGAACCTGACATGGCCATGACGAACCTGGCATGGCTATCATGAACCTGACATGGCTATCATGAACCTGACATGGCTATCATGAACCTGACATGGCCATGACCCTGACATGGCTATCATGAACCTGACATGGCTATCATGAACCTGACATGGCTATCATGAACCTGGCATGGCCATGACGAACCTGGCATGGCTATCATGAACCTGGCATGGCTATCATGAACCTGACATGGCTATCGTGAACCTGACATGGCTATCATGAACCTGACATGGCCATGACGAACCTGGCATGGCTATCATGAACCTGACATGGCTATCATGAACCTGACATGACCATGACCCTGACATGGCTATCATGAACCTGACATGGCTATCATGAACCTGACATGGCTATCATGAACCTGACATGGCTATCATGAACCTGACATGACCATGACCCTGACATGGCTATCATGAACCTGGCATGGCTATCATGAACCTGACAACCATGAACATGACATGACCCTGACATGGCTATCATGAGCCTGGCATGGCTATTATGAACCTGACATGGCCATGAACATGACATGAACCTGACATGGCTATCATGAACCTGCCATGGCCATGAACGTGACATAACCGTGAACATCACATGGCTATTATGAACCTGACATGGCCATTGTGAACCTTCCATAGCCACGGTGACACTGCCGTGGCCACGCTGAGTCTGCCGTAGCCACGCTGAGTCTGCCGTGATCACGGTGACACTACCAGGGCCACGCTGAGTCTACCAGGGCCACGCTGAGTCTACCAGGGCCATGCTGAGTTTGCCGTGGCCACGCTGAGTCTACCAGGGCCACGCTGAGTCTGCCGTGGCCACGCTGAGTCTGCCGTGGCCACGCTGAGTCTACCAGGGTCACGCTGAGTCTGCCGTGGCCACGCTGACACTACCAGGGCCACGCTGAGTCTGCCGTGGCCACGGTGACACTACCAGGGCCACGTTGAGTCTGCCGTGGCCACGCTGAATCTACCAGGGCCACGCTGAGTCTGCCGTGGCCACGGTGACACTACCAGGGCCACGCTGAGTCTGCCGTGGCCCCGCTGACACTGCCGAGAGGCGCTGCGAGCCCTCCCCCACCGCGTCACGGGCCCCGAGCGGTCGCCCCCCCCCACCACCCCCCACCACCCCCACCACCCCCCACCCCACCGGTTCTCGCGATCCGGGCGAACCGGTTTAGTTAAACCCGGCCCCACTTCCTGGAGCGCGCGGACAGTCAGCACGGACAGCACCACCACCACGACAACAACAACCACCACCACCACCACCAAACAATCACAACAACAAACAGTGGGGGAGTAACCATGGCGCAAGTCGTCTTCCTCCTCCTCCTCGTCCTCGTCCTCCTCGTCGCGGCCTCCGCGGCCCCGGAGCCCGGCCGAGCCTGGCGCCGCTTCCACGCCGCCAGGCTCGGCCGGAGCGCGGCGGCCTCCCCCACGCCCAGCGCGGCCTCCGCGAACCGCACGCTGCTGCCGACACAGATGCTGGAGCAGCTGCGGCGCAACACGCACAAGGTGAGAGGGGTTGGACGGAGCGGTGGAGGCGCGCCCCGTGTTGTTGTTGTTGTGGTGGTGGCGGCGCGGGAGGCCGAGAGTGGAGACTCCCCCCCCCAGCCCCCGAGGCCCCTCGAGGCTCCCCCCGCGCCGCAATTTGAATTCGCAGCCCGGGTGCGCGCGCGGGGTGGTTGTGCCGCGCGCCCATTGGTCGGCGTCGGGGTTTGCGCGAGACGAGGGGGCGTCACCGCCCGCGTATCAGCGCTGGGAAATGTAAAGGCCGCGCTGACGCGAGGAGGGGCCGGCATATCCGTGTTCACAACAACCACAGCAAAGCCACAACAACAACCACAACAACAACCACAACAACCACAGCGAAGCCACAACCACCACCACAACAACCACAACAACAGCGAAGCCACAACCACCACCACAACAACCACCATCACCACAACAACCACAGCGAAGCCACAACCACCACAACAACCACAGCAAAGCCACAACCACAACGCCACCACCCGCACAGCCACCACAACAACCGCAGCAAAGCCACCACAACCACGGCAAAGCCACCACCACCATAACCACAGCAAACCCACCACCACAACAACCACAGCAAAGCCACAACCACAACGCCACCACCGGCACAGCCACCACCATAACCACAGCAAAGCCACCACAACAACCACGGCAAAGCCACAACCACCATAACTACTACAGCAAAGACACCACCGCCGTCGCCACCACCACCACCACAACAACCACAGCAACGCCACTACCACCAAAAACCACGGCAAAGCCACCAGCACCGTCCCCACCACCCCCCATGTGTCAATCAAGGCGAGGCATCGTCACGGTGTGTAGTAGTAGTAGGAGTCGTGTTTAGCTCGGTGACAACTCGAGAGCACGGCAAAGATGATCATTTTCCCACCAGTGACCCGAGGCATGGGTCTGTCAGTGGGGGTCCGCGGTGGGATGGCAATCGATCTCATTCGCGGACTCCTCTTCCAACGTGGGCCGTGATGTCGGCACGCCGATGGTCTCAACCGCTTGCCTGGGCACACGCGGTTTCGAGTTGCACAACTGCTGATTGGTTTGGGGTGTCTTTAGTTCACGTGTAGGTGCGACTCTGTCCGTCATCCCTCCACGGTCAGCAACGTGAATACCGCTCTGGGGTCCAATCGGTGGCTCTTCCACGGAGATACCCGACCCCATCACAGGAATGTGGAATTCCCATCACTGGCATTGGGGTTGCCTTGCTTGTGGAAGGCGTGAGAGGACGCTGTCGCTGTGGGTCTCGTGCTCCTGCGTTCGTTTCGACGGGGGGGGAGAGCCGATTGTGAATGTGAATCTTCTTCCTGGACGGACGTCTGTCGATGTAAGAGTTTAAAGGCAGTGGCGCTACAAGCTGAACTCAACAAGACGAACCTGTGTTTTGTGTTCAGCCGTTTAGAAAACAAAAAAATACTTTTATTTTTTTTCATGTCGGGAGACAAGACAGATACATGGGGGAAAGGAGGCAAATCGCCTGCTTGTTTTGTTACTTTAAAAACAAAAATGAAAGCAATTTTTTGTTGCTTAAAGTTCAGAGTTGTGCGGAAGGGCGAGATTCGTGCAGTGTCGGCGATGCTGATGGACCACACTTGCCCTCCACATTAAACGGCAAGCTAGCTGTAATCACTGGCGAAACGTCGGATACGGATTGTAAATGTCGTGGCTTGGCTCTCCAACACACCGGTGTTGCTGTACTCGTATACTACACTATACACTACACTATACACTACTATACCATTACACTACTATACACTACACTACTATACACTACACTACTATACACTACACTACTATACACTACACTATAGACTACACTATTATACACTACACTATTATACACTACACTATACACTACACTATACACTACACTACACTACTTTACACTACACTATTATACACTATACACTACACTATACACTACACTATAGACTACACTATAGACTACACTATTATACACTACACTATACACTACACTATACACTACACTATACACTACACTATACACTACTATATACACTACACTACTATACACTACAATATACACTACCATACCACTACACTACACTATACACTAGTGCTGTACTAGTGACGAATTGGCCACGTTCTGTTTACGTGACAACCCTTACTAGTTGGCTGTGTCGGGTGGTGGCGGGTTCTAACGACACATTTACATATTTACGCGATTTAACCCCAAAGCGCCTCTATTGTGGAAGCAACCTCCCTGGCCGAGTTTCCGCTCCTCCCTCAAGACCCCCCCCCTCCTCCTCATCTCCCTGGCTCATCATCCTTCCCTCCATCCCCAATTACCGTACCCACTTAACCTCCCTCTGCATACCCCCCCCTCATCCCTATTCACCGCATTACTTTTAGCTACCCTAATTCTACCGCTCACAATAACCCGTGTAAAAGCACTTTGGATGAGCGCGCAATGCAAATATGAGATGACGAGTGTGGCAAACGGCTGCGTGGCTTTGGGTCACGCGGCTCGTCACCCGTCCGCCCCGTCACGTGCTCTGCGACCAGCCCCAGCCGGACCCAACCCAGCCACAAGCCTTGTCTTGGTCTTGTCATTTGTTATTAGAGTCGTTTTTTGTTGTTGCTGGTCCCGGCCGCCCGACTCAATTTCACCCGGCCCGTGGCCACACCGGCGCCTGCCACGTTGAAACAGCCTCACAAAAAAAACGATGTTTCGTCACTGCCAGCATCTTAGACCACACTAATCGGACGGTGGAGGGGAAGGAATACTTTTGACCCTGGCAGCAGCACCGCGCTCACTTGCCCGTTTGTCTTCCATTGAGATCTGGGCGCACAGTCCGTGCGTGCGGTCCTGGCATGGTGAGAGTTTTCAATTCAACCGACGCGTGCTTTGCCCCCTCGAAAGCATTTTTAAATCCCATTCAACCCCCGAGTTAGGAGAAGGTTCCTCACCAGTATTGTTTTTGCCAATAACATCACCACAGCCAAGACGTTTGGCAGTGAGCTGGCGTCTGGAAGGGGAAACTGCCCTCCTGGTGCCGCTGTGCCCCCAAGCAAGAGGGTGACGGTTAAATATTTTATTTTTTTCCAAATGCGCTCGCCATAAAATGTTATCTCCCTCGTCCGGCCACGTGGGAACTTAGGAGTGCAGTGCTATGTGCCACAGCTGTAAAGAAAGCAAAAACCACAATGACGCCATACAGTAGCCAATCGACGTAGTCGATTTGAACACGAAAGTAAAATAATCTCTGTTAAGGCCTTATTCTATCACCGAGCCTTGAGTGAGCATGCCATTGCTAGGCTGTGGCAGGGAAGCTGTGTGGCTGTGGCTGAGTGAATCGGGGCCGCCTCGCTGCCTTGAGAGATTTAATCAGGGCTGATGGCTCAGCTGCCAGCAGCTGCCCAGATCACAGCGCCACGTGTGCTTTTCAATTGGCTTATTTGTTACATCTGTTTTTGGATGATTCTTCATGTGTGGTTTTGTATACTGATATCGTTTTGTAGAGTTAACTATGAGCGGGGTTGGTGGTGGTGGGGCACGCCTTTAATGGAGCACTGTGGAGTAAGCCAGGGTTGGTGGATCAACGTACGAATGGCGTTGTAACTCTTCCCGCAGGGGTAGAGGAGGAGCCGTAACCCTGGCACGCCGGGAGAGGCCAGGCACAGCAGAAATGTGGACTCCGCCTGTTCTGTCTTGATGGGATAGAGTGTTTCACCCTCACACTCATGGGTTTTCTTCAGGGGCTCCGGTTTCCTCCCACGTGTAAACACCCATTCATTGTCCGATAACAACACTTTAATATATCGAGTACCACAGAGCTTGGGCAATGGTTGGTGCCAGCTCATCGCGCGGCTACTGACTTCCTACTCTCACCCCCTGAATAGTTTCCTTTCTCTGTGAGAGGGAGTGAATACTGTGCATGCACATCACGAGTTGACATTCTTATGCTAATTGTTATCGCCGACAGGTTTGACGGCAGCAGGGCAGCATGTCGGTTTGTAAACATTGACAGTGGATATGATGCAACTTGAGATGGGGTGCTTATCCTACAGCCAGTTCCCTTATCACCACAGGCTCCTGTTTCCTCCCACGTGCTTAATTACACACACACACACATGAATTGGCCCAATATCTGAGCAGATCCTTCCTGGAGCTCCAGAGCCTCATGTGTCCCGAAAGTGAAGGTAAAAGGTCAACGTGGACAATACCGCTGATGCTGCCAAAACCTACTATTGCTTCCGTCATTCTGCCAGATCCCGCAACTGTTGCGAAGTCCTCCAATGACCATTCTTACAGCCTCACCATCACCGCTACTGTCTGGCTTCAGGTCTTCCCTTGCTAACCGCGACCTCTGGTGCCACTCCTATGCCTGCCCGTGTCACCGGCCCTCCTCAACTCCGTGTCACATCCATCACAACCTCCTCCTCTTCTTGCTGATTACATCTGTACTCATTCCCAAGTTGTTTATTCTGGACAGTCTGGTCCCTTCACCTGAAGAAGGCCACTTGTGTTGTGGCCGAAACGTCGTGATTTTTGTTGTTTTATTTTTTTACCTACGTGACTTTACCGAATAGAACCAAAGAGTATGGATCCTTGCAGTCACGAAGGCTTCAAATCTAGAATTGATTCAAGCAGGCGTGTTGAGACACTTAAAGTCGAAACTCGTCCAGCGAGTGGGGTTGGTGGACGGGGACACTGATGCTGCTGCTGCTGCTGTGCCTTTTGTGTCTCCAGTTTGAATTTGAGAACAATCTCAGCAAATCCGTCACGCTGGCCTGGGTCGGAGACGGCACTGGGGTGAGTACCGCCACGAACACGCATGTCATCTCGCTGCTGCGTCGCCATCCTCACTGCTGTTCCGTCGGCCCGTGCGGATCGTAGGCTCACGCGGATCGTGGGCCCCGTGCCGATCGTAGGTCCAGTGCGGATCGTAGGTCCGTGTGGATCGTAGGCCCCATGTAGATCGTAGGCCCGTGCGGATCAATCGTAGGCTCGTGCGGATCGTAGGTCCCGTGCGGATTATAGGTCCGTGTGGATCATAAGTCCGTGTGGATCGTAGGCCCTGTGTGGATCGTAGGCCCTGTATGGATCGTAGGCCCCATGTAGATCGTAGGCCCGTGCGGATCAATCGTAGGCCCGTGCGGATCGTGGGTCCGTGCGGATCGTAGGCCCCACTGTGCACCCGTAAAAGTGGCAGGAACTCTGCAGAGTAGCGTCGTAGACGTAAATTGGCTTCAACCAGGGGTCGGACACTTGCGCAGGGTGGAGGGGGGAGGGGCAGGGTACCGAGACGGGCATCGGGAGAGGTGCCCAGAGCTCAGCAGCGACTGAGGGGAAGACCTCGTGCCAGACGGTGGTAATGGTGGCGAGACTCTGAGAGCGGGCCTTGTTGTTGTAGGATGTGTCGACCACATGACTAGGGGAAGAGCTGAAGCCCGATGGTTGAACACCGAGGAGGCCAGCGTCGTCTGTGCAACAGCTGGGAATTCTAGCAGAAGGAGGGAAGTGAAGGCATCAACATTGGCTGTGACAGGCTGTTGATGCTGCTGCTGCTGCTACCCGCACGAGGCCACCAGTTCGACTCCTGCGCAAGGGTCGACTGCCTGTGGATTGATGCAGAAGCCAACAGATTTCCCGAAACTTTTCAACGCCCGGCCAACCGATGCCGAGCGGGGTATCTTGGGCCCGCGGCCTTTTCTGGCGTCGTGGCGACGGCGGCCTCCGCCAGTCGGCGCGGCCCCACGGGCTTTGGGCTTCAAAATGGCGCGCGCCCTTTGTCTCCCCTCGCCGACCGCGCACCTCTTGGGCAGAGTCCCGCCGGGCGTTCTCTCGGAGTCGAGGGGGCACTCGTCGCGCCAGGCAGCCGCGGTTGGTGCCTCGGTCGATAGAGCATTGGGTGGGACGCCGGCGACGCTGTGGGACGCTCGCGAGGGCTGTTAGCTCGAGAGATGGGAGCCTCCATTTCTTCTCGCCCTCCGCCTCCCTATCACAAGCCACCCTTAGATTTAGATGATAATTGTAGCAGCCAGTGATGTACTCAGATCTTCCTCACTCCCCCCTCATCTCCCTCCCCTCCCATTTTCCATCCCCCCCCCCCTGCCCCTGACCCTCCCCTCCCCTCCTGAAACTGTTTTGTATTTTCGCACAGAGTTGGGTGCTGCGTATAAACTTTTGTTAATTGATAAAAAAAAAATGACTTGTTCTCGCTGTTGTTCAATGTTTTTATGATGGTGATTCTATAAAAAAAAATATATAAGTCTACTGACACTGGCCCTTTGCCATAGGAATGTGGAATTTCCAACACTTGGCTCGAGGTCACCGGTAAAGATGAGCGCCGCCGCATGCTCCTCTAGGCGCAGGAAAACGCCGCGGATCCCCACCTCCGCTCGTGAAATTATTATTATTGTCATAAGACCCGCACTGGCCATGAATTTGCGAAGGGTGGGAGGTGTGACATCATCATGGAGGCGTGACATCATCATGCACGGTGATGTCATCACCACGCACGTGACCTGCCAGCCAGCCAGCCAACCAGCCTGCAAAACCTTTTTCTAATATAGGATCGGTGATTGGTGTTTGGTGCGTCACGTGACGTCTCGGCCGACAACAGGCTCCGTAGGCCACACTTTTCCCATCACGCATGTCCCCTCATCCCACGAGTAACATTTGCTTGGCTCATGGTTGTCATATTCACGTGTGGACTCATACCCTTGTGTGCTGGTCTCTGTTGCTGCTGCTGCTGCTGCATGTGCGTTTCGTTTGTGTTCTCCATTGCCACACTCAGGTTGTGTTGGTGTTGACCACCCTTGACTTTTCTGTGTTGAATGGGCCCGGGGACTTTAGTCTCTACAGGAGGTGAGGATTTTGCGTCGGCGCGCCGGTGCGGTCTGCTCCCACAAAGCCTAGGGATAATAACAAGAACAATAATTTTCACAATTATCCAACAACGATATTTGCGTTGACACGGCGCACGCTGAACTGCCTCGGCAAACTCGCGGCGCCTTCGCATCCCTACTCAAGCACATTCCAAGGGCATCCCCCAGGGGTAGCTTTCCCTGCGTGGCACAAAATGACTGGGCACCTGGCCTGCAAGCGGGCGCTGGTCTGCCAGCGTGGTGCAGTGCCAGCCCCTGTAAGCGTGTCACCCCAAGTGAGTAATTTGCGTCGTGAGTTTTTTCAATTTGGCAAATTTGGACCATGACGCATGCACCGCAGTGGCCTACTCGCTCGCTTAATGAGAGGCTGATTAAAAGCCGTGCTTGCTCATAAGAGATTCGGTAAGAGTCTAAACTTGCAAATTAGAGGCTCATTAAGAGTCTCGCTTGGTAAATTAAGAGGCTGGTTATGAAGTGCAATGTTAATGAGATGCTGCTGAATTATGCCTTTCCGGGAGTCTGTGCGACGGATGAGGACGCGTAAGGGATAGACACGTGCAGGAGTAGAATTGTCCGCGGACTTATTTTGTCATCGGCATGGGCGTCCGTGAAGGCAGCAGCAGCAGCAGCAGCCAATGCACACCGGCTCACACCGCACGGCCACAGTCGCAGCTCGGTGATGCTGCTGCTGCTGCTGCCGCCGCCGCCGCTGCCGCCTGGGCTATTCCTCGGCCTAATTCACGTTCGCTTGAACGCGGTGGAGTGGTGGCGCAGTGGCCGGCACCCCACGGCGTCAACCTGGTGAGCTGACTTAACTGTGCACAGCTCAAAAAATAATCATTCACGCCCTCGTGGCGAGTATAAATGACAAAGTAAATAAGCTGGCGGCGTGTTTCCTTCGCAACATCAAGTCTCTCCGCCCAAGGTATAAAAGTACTTCTTACGCAGTCCATCAGCCGCACGGCCTTCTGGAAGTACATAATTTCAAGCAGCATTGTTTCAGGGCAAGCAAACCCTGCACCGGTTTCGACTTTGCGGTGTCTCGTCAGCAGACGTGATCTGTGGCGCTGGTCGCACGGGCAGAGAGAGAAAACCCTGTGGAGTTGTCGTTCACGTAGAACGGGGTAGTTCTCTTGAAATGTCGAGGTGGTTGGCGATTCGTTCGCGGGTTCCGGGGAAGTTCGTTCACGGGCATTTCAGCCACCGAGACGGCGCTCGTGACGGTGTGAACTCACGTTTACTCCGCCCCCCCCCCCCCCGGTGCGGCGAGCCCCCCCCCCCCCCCCGTGCGGTAAAACACCCCTGGTGTGGTGAAACCCCCCCCCCCCGGTGCGGTCAAACCCCCCCCCCCCCCGCGGTGCGGTGGGAACCTCACCGGTGCGTAGTGTCAATGGCCACTGCAGTGCGGCGGACCGACACGTTGGGGCCATTGACTCGGCTCCAAACGCATTTGAAAACGCGACCGCCCCCGTAAACCTGCCCTCGTAAACCTGCCCCCGTAAACCCGCCCCCGTAAACCTGCCCCCGTAAAACCCGCCCCGTAAACCTGCCCCCGTAAACCCGCCCCCGTAAACCCGCCCCCGTAAACCCGCCCCCGTAAACCCGCCCCCGTAAACCTGCCCCCCGTAAACCTGCCCCCGCCGGAGGGCCGCGTCGTTTTGGTTACCACGCCCACGAGTGCGGTGGCAGAGAGCGAAAACGCGCAAGGATCACCCCGGAGTTTGACGCCCGAGCGTTTCGTTGCAGCGAGAACTACGGAAAGAACTTCACAGAAATCACGGGACTGATTTCAGGCAACAACGTGGAGAGTGAGCTTGGAATCCTCGTCGACCCGGGCAACGCAAACCGGGTAACGTACGCACTGCACGGACGCAAACACGCACGCACGTCCGTGCTGTGTGTGTATTATATGCTGTGTGCGTGCTATGCTGTGTGTGCGTGTTTATAATAGAGGTTTTTGGGTTGGATCACGTAAATATGTAAATGTGTCGTTAGAACCCGCCACCACCCGACACAGCCAACTAGTAAGGGTTGTCACGTAAACAGAACGTGGCCAATTCGTCACTAGTACAGCACTAGTGTATAGTGTAGTGGTATGGTAGTGTATAGTGTAGTGTATAGTAGTGTATAGTGTAGTGTATAGTGTAGTATACTAGTACAGCATACCGGTGTGTTGGAGAGCCAAGCCACAACATTTACAATCCGAGTACGACGTTTCGCCAGTAATTACAACCAGCTTCATCAGGCGACAGCCAGATTTGTGGAGCAGTCTGACTGTTTCATTCCTTATATAGAGGCAAAAATGTGTTGACCACCCTTCTGCACTCTTGCACAATGATGGGGGGGGGTGGGATTACTGAGTCAACGTACATGATGCGTGTGCGTTATGCGAGCCCTTTGAACTCGTCCTTCCTGTCTATTGTGTTTATTAAAATATCCCTACCAACCGTAATCCCTGTTGAAGTACGCTGCCCTTTGTGGGCATGCACTTAAACAATGGATTATTTGATGATTCGCTTCCACGTAGCACTTAGACGGTAGCTATCCGAAGGATACAGTTATTTTGATTTCTTTCAATTTCGATGGATTCTCTAATTAGTCTTGGCCAGTAGTTGCTAGTTTTGCACGAAACTTCATCATTATCAAAATCAATGGAGTGTCCTTGTTGGCACGCGTGTTCTGCTACTGCTGACAGTTGCATTTGGGAGAATTTAATATTTCTCTGATGTTCTTTTAGTCTCGTGCTGATCATGCGTCCTGTTTGCCCAACATAACAAATGTCGTGGCTTGGCTCTCCAACACACCGGTGTGCTGTACTAGTGACGAATTGGCCACGTTCTGTTTACGTGACAACCCTTACTAGTTGGCTGTGTCGGGTGGTGGCGGGTTTAACGACACGTTTACGCGATCTAACACAAAAACCTCTATTATGGATGATATTGGTCACGAAAGCCTTCGTGTTAAACTGTGTGTGTGTTGTGTATGTGCTATGCTGTATGGGTGTATGTGCTATGCTATGTGTATGTTGTGCTATGCTGTCTGGGTGTGTTGTGCTATGCTGTGTGGGTGTGGTGTGCTATGCTGTGTGGGTGTGTTGTGCTATGCTGTGTGTTTTGTTATGCTGTGTGTTGTGTATGTGCTATGCTGTGTGTTGTGTATGTGCTATGCTGTGTGTGTTGTGTATGTGCTATGCTGTGTGTGTTGTGTATGTGCTATGCTGTGTGTGTTGTGTATGTGCTATGCTGTGTGTGTGTTGTGTACGTGCTATGCTGTGTGTGTGTTGTGTACGTGCTATGCTGTGTGTGTGTGTTGTGTATGTGCTATGCTGTGTGTGTGTGTTGCGTATGTGCTATGCTGTGTGTGTGTGTTGCGTATGTGCTATGCTGTGTGTGTGTGTTGCGTATGTGCTATGCTGTGTGTGTGTGTTGCGTATGTGCTATGCTGTGTGTGTGTTGCGTATGTGCTATGCTGTGTGTGTGTTGCGTATGTGCTATGCTGTGTGTGTGTTGCGTATGTGCTATGCTGTTTGTGTGTTGCGTATGTGCTATGCTGTGTGTGTGGGGAGCGATAGTGTAGCGGTTAGCGCGCTGCGCTATGAACCTGGCGACCCGGGTTCGATTCCCGCTCACGGCCAACACCAGTGACGATTATCTGAACCGGTACCGGGCCTCCCCTAGGTCGACTCAGCCTCAAATGAGTACCTGGTGCGGTGTGTAAACATTGCCACTAGGGAGACAAAGGCGGTCGGGCGTGGTGCTGGCCACCCACCCCCTCGTGTACCGTTCCGGCCTTCATTGGTGCTCGCTAACAGCACTTGCCCCTACAGTCTGTTAAGGCTATATGGGGGATCTTTGATCTTTGTGTGTTGCGTATGTGCTATGCTGTGTGTGTGTTGCGTATGTGCTATGCTGTGTGTGTGTTGCCTATGTGCTATGCTGTGTGTGTGTTGCGTATGTGCTATGCTGTGTGTGTGTTGCGTATGTGCTGTGCTGTGTGTGTGTTGCGTATGTGCTGTGCTGTGTGTGTGTTGTGTATGTGTATGTGCTACAGTGAGGGAAAAAAGTATTTGATCCCCCACTGATTTTATACGTTTGCCCACTGACAAAGAAATGATCAGTCTATAAATTTAATGGTAGGTTTATTTGAACAGGGAGAGACAGAATAACAACAAAAAAATCCAGAAGAACGCATGTCAAAAATGTTATAAATTTTGCATTTTAATGAGGGAAATAAGTATTTGACCCCTCTGCAAAACATGACTTAGTACTTGGTGGCAAAACCCTTGTTGGCAATCACAGAGGTCAGACGTTTCTTGTAGTTGGCCACCAGGTTTGCACACATCTCAGGAGGGATTTTGTCCCACTTCTCTTTGCAGATCTTCTCCAAGTCATTAAGGTTTCGAGGCTGACGTTTGGCAACTCGAACCTTCAGCTCCCTCCACAGATTTTCTATGGGATTAAGGTCTGGAGACTGGCTAGGCCACTCCAGGACCTTAATGTGCTTCTTCTTGAGCCACTCCTTTGTTGCCTTGGCCGTGTGTTTTGGGTCATTGTCATGCTGGAATACCCATCCACGACCCATTTTCAATGCCCTGGCTGAGGGAAGGAGGTTCTCAGCATTCCTCCTCCTCAAAACACGGCGAGTTGAGTTGATGCCAAAGAGCTCCATTTTGGCCTCATCTGACCACAACACTTTCACCCAGTTGTCCTCTGAATCATTCAGATGTTCATTGGCAAACTTCAGACGGGCATGTATATGTGCTTTCTTGAGCAAGGGGACCTTGCGGGCGCTGCAGGATTTCAGTCCTTCACGACGTAGTGTGCTACCAATTGTTTTCTTGGTGACTATGGTCCCAGCTGCCTTGAGATCATTGACAAGATCCTCCCGTGTAGTTCTGGGCTGATTCCTCACCGTTCTCATGATCATTGCAACTCCACGAGGTGAGATCTTGCATGGAGCCCCAGGCCGAGGGAGATTGACAGTTAGTTTGTGTTTCTTCCATTTGCGAATAATCGCACCAACTGTTGTCCCCTTCTCACCAAGCTGCTTGGCAATGGTCTTGTAGCCCATTCCAGCCTTGTGTAAGTCTACAATCTTGTCCCTGACATCCTTGGAGAGCTCTTTGGTCTTGGCCATGGTGGAAAGTTTGGAATCTGATTGATTGATTGCTTCTGTGGACAGGTGTCTTTTATACAGGTAACAAGATGAGATTAGGAGCACTCCCTTTAAGAGTGAGCTCCTAATCTCAGCTCGTTACCTGTATAAAAGACACCTGGGAGCCTGAAATCTTTCTGATTGAGGGGGGGTCAAATACTTATTTCCCTCATTAAAATGCCAGTCAATTTATAACATTTTTGACATGTGTTTTTCTGGATTTTGTTGTTGTTATTCTCTCTCACTGTTCAAATGAACCTACCATTAAAATTATAGACTGATCATTTCTTTGTCAGTGGGCAAACGTACAAAATCAGCAGGGGATCAAATACTTTTTTACCTCACTGTATGCTGTGTGTGTTGTGTATGTGCTATGCTGTGTGTGTTGTGTATGTGCTATGCTGTGTGTTGTGTATGTGCTGTGCTGTGTGTGTTGTGCTATGCTGTGTGTGTGTGTTGTGTGTGTGCTATGCTGTGTGTGTGTTGTGTATGTGCTATGCTGTGTGTGTGTTGTGTATGTGCTATGCTGTGTGTGTGTGTATGTGCTATGCTGTGTGTGTATGTGCTATGCTGTGTGTGTATGTGCTATGCTGTGTGTGTTGTGTATGTGCTATTCTGTGTGTGTGTTGTGTATGTGCTATGCTGTGTGTGTGTTGTGTGTGTGCTATACTGTGTGTGTGTTGTGTGTGTGCTATTCTGTGTGTGTGTTGTGTATGTGCTATGCTGTGTGTGTGTTGTGTGTGTGCTATACTGTGTGTGTGTTGTGTGTGTGCTATGCTGTGTGTGTGTTGTGTGTGTGCTATGCTGTGTGTGTGTTGTGGATGTGCTATGCTGTGTGTGTGTGTTGTGTATGTGCTATGCTGTTTGTGTGTTGTGTATGTGCTCTGCTGTGTGTGTGTGTTGTGTATGTGCTCTGCTGTGTGTGTGTGTGTTGTGTATGTGCTATGCTGTGTGTGTGTGTTGTGTATGTATGTGCTATGCTGTGTGTGTGTTGTGTATGTGCTATGCTGTGTGTGTGTTGTGTATGTGCTATGCTGTGTGTGTGTTGTGTATGTGCTATGCTGTGTGTGTGTGGTGTATGTGCTGTGCTGTGTGTGTGTGGTGTATGTGCTGTGCTGTGTGTGTGTGGTGTATGTGCTGTGCTGTGTGTGTTGTGTATGTGCTGTGCTGTGTGTGTTGTGTATGTGCTGTGCTGTGTGTGTGTGGTGTATGTGCTGTGCTGTGTGTGTGTGGTGTATGTGCTGTGCTGTGTGTGTGTGGTGTATGTGCTGTGCTGTGTGTGTGTGGTGTATGTGCTGTGCTGTGTGTGTGTGGTGTATGTGCTGTGTTGTGTGTGTGTGGTGTATGTGCTGTGTTGTGTGTGTGTGGTGTATGTGCTGTGTTGTGTGTGTGTGTGGTGTATGTGCTGTGTGTGTGGTGTATGTGCTGTGTTGTGTGTGTGTGGTGTATGTGCTGTGTTGTGTGTGTGTGGTGTATGTGCTGTGTTGTGTGTGTGTGGTGTATGTGCTGTGCTGTGTGTGTGTGGTGTATGTGCTGTGCTGTGTGTGTGTGGTGTATGTGCTGTGCTGTGTGTGTGTGGTGTATGTGCTGTGCTGTGTGTGTGTGGTGTATGTGCTGTGCTGTGTGTGTGTGGTGTATGTGCTGTGCTGTGTGTGTGTGGTGTATGTGCTGTGTGTGTGTGGTGTATGTGCTGTGCTGTGTGTGTGTGGTGTATGTGCTGTGCTGTGTGTGTGTTGTGTATGTGCTGTGCTGTGTGTGTGTTGTGTACGTGCTGTGCTGTGCTGTGTGTGTGTGTGTTGTGTATGTGTTATGCTGTGTGTGTGTGTTGTGTATGTGCTATGCTGTGTGTGTGTTGTGTATGTGCTATGCTGTGTGTGTGTTGTGTATATGCTATGCTGGACTTGCTATCCTGTGTGTGCGGGAGACAGGTGGTGATCCTGTCGTCGACCATGATGCCAATGATTTGGTTTTTCGTGGGCTCCAAGGACGGAGGAAGGAACTTTGTATCGCACACGCTGCCCTTCCAGCCCCTGGCACAGATGCAGTTCCACCCGACGCTGCCCGACGTTCTGCTCGCCCACTCCGTGGCAGATGTAGGTGCCCACGTCCCAGCTCCAGCCGAGCGGCCTTGCCAACCTCTCGGTGCTGGAGTCGCGTTCGGGCGCCAGGCGCCGGTGGGAGTGGTGCCCCCGTGAGTTAAGCGAGGAAGCTCTCGGGCCTCTCGTTGTCCGCACGTATGTTGCGTGTTAGTTGAACTTCTTTCGCGCCGTACGTGGCCAACCGTGCCCGTCGGAGGTGCGGTGGAATGACAACAACGCTCAACGCAAAAAGCAGTTCTAAAGCAATTCGTTTTGAATCGTAAGATTTAAAGGTGCATTGCCCCAGCGGCTGCCTAACATCGGAAGGAAGAGCGTTCCAGATGTCCCCAGACGCGCACCTGAAAGCGCTCAATGCGGTGACCACCGTCTTCGTTCGATGGTTAACCAAAAAGCCGCCGCTGCGAGGATAAACCGGAGTTCACGAACGTTCGTACGCCGCCACAGGGATTCAAACAGCGGAGCGCGTCTTGCTGGTGCAACAGCAACTTTGTTGAACGCCGTTTTGAGCAAAGTTCCTCCAAGTTGCAGAGCCGATCGTGACTCTGTTAACCCTGATGTTGCACCTGACGTTAAACGAAGCAACGCAGATGGATGCCGCGGTTGCCTGCGACGTCGTAGCAGGCGCAGCGCTGACTTGTGGTGACCGTGTTCCCATCGCAGTACTCCCTGTACATCACCACGGACTTTGGGATATCCTGGCGCCTACTCCACCAGTTTGTCTTCATGTACAAATGGTGAGCCTGCCACTCACGGTCACACGCGGTCACAGCCGCCCCCACGCGCCGCTCCTTCGGCCTCGCCGCCCTAAGCCAGCCGGTTTAATGTCACGGTGGGTTATTGATGTGTTAATAAAACTTCTGAGCTTCGTAACCTTTGCCAATCCACTACTGGATTAAGGGCCTCCTCACACCCAGCGTCGGTCAGTCCGTGGTAGCCGTAGCTGACTTCACCACGCCGCTCAGTCCGTGGTAGCCGTAGCTTACTTCACCACGCCGCTCAGTCCGTGGTAGCCGTAGCTTACTTCACCACGCCGCTCAGTCCGTGGTAGCCGTAGCTTACTTCACCACGCCGGTCTGGTGAAGTGGGCACCTGGGACCGGTTCTGATATCACTGCTCACTGACGTTAGCCTTGACCATGTCGCGAACTGCTGAGCTATTGAAGTCGGTACCTGCATGAAAGCACGCACACCTCTCCCACGTAGTGCATGCACTATCCGGCGACGCAGTGCTCGGGTTAGAGCACGTGACTAATCCCATCGTCGTCGCCACGGGGGTCCATAAATTGAGCACCACTGTTCGTGAAATAAATCGTGGTCACCCGACGTAGCGTTGCGTTCTCAGCATGTGAACGTGGAATTTCCACCGCTGGCTCGGACCTCAAAGACGAGTGCTGCCCCGCGTCCGTGCCAACCTTCACGCACCCAGGGCCTCGTCGCCTGACCAGCGCCAAGGCCGCGTTCTTACGTGTGTGTGCGCGTGTGCGAGCGAGTCACCACCCTGCCTCTTGCTGTCATCCGCAGGTCAAGCAATGGGACGCTGTTTATCACCACAAACCCGCTCATGAGCGACGTCTGTAAGTGTCCTGGTGCGAGAGAGTACACTCAGAACGCCTCATTGTTGCTTTCGATTTAAATACGCGCAAGAGCACGCAGAGGGTGTGTGCTGCTGCACTGCGTGGTACGGACGCCCTCGGCCTTGTCCAGACCACCGCTTCAGGAGATCCGAACGTGGCGCCGTGTCAGCGTGTTGTTGTCAATTCTCTTATCACACGAATTTTATCTGTTCATTTACAGATTTGAGTTTCAAGCAGCGGGGAGTGCGTATCGAATATGCGTGTTAATATTAACCTAGGGACAGCAAGGACAGCTGCAGAAGGTTTGTTTAGGGCACAGTGGATGATGCTGATGGTGACCCAGTGTTGACATAGCCTCTGTGTGGACACACAAGGTGGGGTTCTATTATTATTCTCGGTACGCTGGTTTACCGATGAAAGCGTCTGCCTAGTCCCGTGACCCTTTTTTTCAGGAGGGTCCTGCCATGTTTTCGTGGTAGAGTGCGACGATTTCTACATACGCGGTCGCGAACTCGTGTAATTTTGCGGGTAAATTCAATCAAAACTTGGGGGGGGGGGTGGTCGGCGGTGACTCCGTCTGTCGTCCGCGTCTGCGGGAGCAGTTCGTCCTCCGCTCGGCAAGTTCCTGATGAAGAGGTCCACGGACCTGGGCCTGACGTTCACGACTGTCGCCCAGAACGTCTACTCCTTCGGCCTGGGGGGGCCCTTCCTCTACGCCTCCATCGTGTTCTCGGCGGTGAGCTCGGCCCCGCCGCGCCCACCCCCCCACTCTTCGCGTCTCGCCGCCGCCGCCGCCGCCACGGCGCGCCGGCGGCGATCTCGGGCGCGATCCGCAAACCCCCGCAGCGACGGCGTCGGGCCCGCGGGCAACGTGCGCCGCCGTGCCGGTGGCCTCGTTGGCTCTTGGCTCGTAATGGCCTTGAACGGGGACGTCCGTCAGTGACACCGCGGCCTTCAACTGAAAATGTGTAATGTACACGTGAAGGTGACGCTTTGAGCAACGGCCTTTCTTGCAGCATCACGCCCGACCACTCGTTCGCCGCTGGCAAGAAACGCGCGCGTACTCGCTCAACTCGCCCGGTGCTCGCCACGCACGACGTCTCTGGCCCTTGCGTGACCCCCGCCGCCCGCACCTTCCCTGTGTCCGCGTAGAACATGACACGCGTGGTCCACGTCTCGTCGGACCAGGGCAACAGCTGGAACATCGCCCAGGTGCCGCCCGTCAAAGAGGACCAGGTAACGCGGCTGAGCGGTGGTGACGCGCGAGAGGGGGGCGGTGGGCACGGCGGTGGGCACGGCGGTGGGCACGGCGGTGGGCACGGCGGTGGGCACGGCGGTGGGCACGGCGGTGGGCACGGCGGTGGGCACGGCGGTGTGTGTGTGTGTGTGGAGCGGCGTCGCGGCAGTTTAACCGCAGAGGCCCGAGTTCGATTCCCGTTGACGGCCGACGCCATTGACGATCATCTGAACCGGTCCTGGCCGCTCCCGTAGGTTGACACGGCCTCAACTGGGTGTTTGGTGCGTGGCGCTAGCCACCCAGGTCCTCGTGTGTCGTGCTGGCTTGCACGGACGCTACTCGCAACAGCCCCCCTACGTTCTGTCAGGGGGATCATTGTCTCGTGCGTATTTCCGTGTATCTCCGTGTAACGACGCGTGCCTGCGTCGCGCTCTCTCAATGTTGATTCGCAGTTCTACTCGATCCTGGCTGCGACCCAGGACATGATCTTCATGCACGTGGATGAGTCTGGAGGTTTGTCTGACCCGCCTGGTTTACATGGTTTCCCCCTACTGACCGCAACAAAAGTGCTCCACGCCATCTGCTGCACTCGGTGGGCATCGGAGATTCCCTTGGCCGTCAATCAAAATGAGTAGGCCATTGTGTGCCGGCATCAGGGTCCACATTTCACCTGAAAATTACTCAAGTGGGATTTTGAACACCCATTGCAATCATTGCCACCCCTGCGGGCAGACTAATGCCCTTTTGCAGGTCGGTTTCCGAGTCGCTTTGTGCGACGCAGGGACAGCTGCCACTGGGGGTGCCCTTGGTATGCTTCTAATGTTTTGGCGAGGGCCCCGGCGCCCGTAACGCTAACCCCGGCCGCGTGTCTGCCCGCAGACTCGGGCCACGGGACACTCTACGCCTCGGACGACCGCGGCCTCGTGTTCTCCGTGTCGCTGCAGCGCCACCTCTACAACAACCAGGGCGTCGTGACGGACTTCACCAATGTCACCTCGCTCAGGGGCGTGCTGCTCACCAGCCAGATCAACGAAGGTGCGGCGCTCGCCTCTCTTGCCTCGGCCGTCGGGGAGTTCGCCGAGGGCGGGGTAGCCGCCCCCGGGCCAACGTGACGTCCGCTCTGTGTCGCTCCGACAGACGGAACGGTGCGCTCGCTGATCTCGTTCGACCGCGGCGGGGAGTGGCGGCCGATCCAGAAGCCCGCCTCCTCCCGCTGCGCTTCGGGCTCGGAGGTGCCACCACCGTCACCACCACCACCGTCACCACCGCCACCACCGCCACCACCGTCACCACCACTACCGTCACCACCGCCACCACCGTCACCACCACTATCGTCACGACCACCACCGTCACCACCACCACCGTCACCACCGCCACCACCACCGTCACCACTGCCACCATCGCCACCACCGTCACCACCACTATCGTCACGACCACCACCGCCACCACCGTCACCACCACCGTCACCACCACCGTCACCACTGCCACCACTACCGTCACGACCACCACCGTCACCATCACCGTCACCACTGCCACCATCGTCACCACCGCCACCACAGTCACCACCGCCACCACCGTCACCACCACCACCGTCACGACCACCACCGTCACCACCACCGTCACCACTGCCACCACCGTCACCACCACCGTCACCACCACTACTGTCACGACCACCACCACCACCATCACCACCACCACCGTCACTATCACCGTAAGCACCACCACCATCACGACCTTCACCGCCACCACCACAGTCACCACCACTGCCATCACTACCACCGTCACCACCACCACCACCACCATCACTGCCGCTTCTGCTGCCGGCTCCGTGCCGCTGCGCCGGGGGGGGGCCTCTCCGTAAGGGAGCGGGGCCCGGGTGACGTGACACCGCTCTCACGACGCGACGCCAACTTCACAACTTGACGGTCATCGCGATATCCCCTGCCGGCCTCCGTAGCTCCAACTCGCATCCAGCACTCGCCCCGCCAGTCTGTTCAGGCTACACGGGGGATCTTTGCGTGCGTGCTTTCTGCCAGCAGTGCAGTCTGCATATCCTGGGCAACTACGCGATGAGTCTTGACAGCACGGTGCTGCAGGTGCCGCTCAGCGAGCCCAACGCGGTCGGCATCGTCATAGCACACGGTACGCCCCGCGGAGCGAGCGAGCGCGTGCGTGCGTGCCGGTGTACGAGCGTGTGCGTGCGTTTGCGACTACGTGCGCGCGTGCGTGGGTGCGTGACTACAAGAGTGCGCGTGTGACCGCACAGCACGCGTTCTGGGCAGATCGTTTACGTGACGTCACCCCAAACAACAAATTGGCGCAGTAGCGCCGCGCGCTAACCTCGCACGGCGGCCAGCCGGGCTCGGAGGGTCGGGCTGGCGGCGCTGCACGTACCTGCGTCGCGCTGAACTTCTTTCGCACCGTACGTAGCCAACCTGCGCTCACGGGAGGTGCGGGTGCCTGCCGCGACGCGCAGGCACGGTGGCGGACGCCATGGCGGTGGAGGACGTGGACGTGTACGTGTCGGACGACGGTGGCTACACCTGGACCCAGGTGCTGGAGGGCCCCCACCACTACGCGGTGCTCGACTCTGGGGGGCTGCTCGTCGCCGTGCCGTCCGGCGCGGTGCTCATGCAGGACACCATCAAGTACGCCGGACACTCACTCACTCATCACGCAGGACACCATCAAGTACACCACACAGTCACTCACTCACTCATGCAGGACACCATCAAGTACACCACACAGTCACTCACTCACGACACCATCAAGTACACCGCACAGTCACTCACTCAGGACACCATCAAGTACACCACACAGTCACTCACTCACGACACCATCAAGTACACCGCACAGTCACTCACGCAGGGCACCATCAAGTACACCGCACAGTCACTCACTCACGCAGGACACCATCAAGTACACCGCACAGTCACTCACTCATGCACCAACTTGAGAAATCCCATGAGCTTTGAAGCTCTTCACAGGCGTTTCAGTAGGTTAGTGCGCTGCACTACGAACCCAGCCACCGCTCACTGCCAACAGCGACGATTATTTCAACCGCTCCTGGGCCTTCAGGAGGCCTACTCGGCCTCAAACGAGTACCTGGTGCGATGCGTAAACATCGCCACTAGGGAGACTAAGGCTGCGTAGCTGGCCACAACCTCGCGTGCCGTGCCGGCTTTCATAGCTGTCGCTCGCTAGCAGCACTTGCCCTCAAAACTCTGCTGAGGCTACAATAAGGTGGGGATGTTTGCCTTTGGTGACGCGGCGGTTGCGGCGGTGGTGGTGGTGGTGGTGGCGCCCGCCAGGTTCTCGACGGACGAGGGCCAGACCTGGTACGAGTACACGTTCACCGCGCAGAAGATGGTGGTGTCAGGCCTGGCCTCCGAGCCGGGCGCCAAGTCGATGAACGTGAGCGTCTGGGGCTACCGCATGTTGAGCTACGCGGAGCACGTCTGGGTCGTCGTCACCATCGACTTCCAGGAGCTGCTCTCCCGCGACTGTGAGGAGCCCCCCTCCACCCCCACCCCACCCGCACTTTCGACACGAACCCGCCGTGGGCCCGTGGGCCCGTGGGGCCTTGGGGCCGTGGGGCCTTGGGGCTGTGGGGCCGTGGGGCCGTGCCCACGCGCGGGCGGGGGGGGGGGGGTGCGGGCGAGCGGGGGTCGCACCATTCAGCGGGGGTCGCATCGTGCGTAGCGGTTAGCCGTGAACCCGGCGACCCCAGGTTCGCTTCCCGCTCGCGAGCGGTAACGGTGGCGAATATTTATTCCGTTCCTGGGCGCTCCCCGAGGTCGACCCAAATGAGGACCTTGACGCGACGCAATGGCGGCCGGGCGCGGTGCCGGCATCCCGTCGCGTCCCGTGCCGTGCCGTGCTGTGCCGTGCCGTGCCGTGCCGTGCCGGACCTTCGCAGGCAGCGCTTGGCGCCACACAAGCCCGTCGGGGTCTACACGGGGGATCTTCGTCCCGTGTGCGCGAGTGCCGGCGTGTCTCACCCCCCCCCCCCCCCCCGTACCCCCGAGCGGCGCAGGCGAGGACAGCGACTACCTGCAGTGGAAGGCCCACGAGCGGGCGCCGGGGGACACGTGGGACGGCTGCGTGCTGGGCCTGCACGAGACCTTCTACCGCCTGCGCAAGGCCTCGCTGTGCCGCAACGGACGCGACTACGAGGTCACCGCCAGCTCCGTCGCCTGCCCCTGCACCTCCGACGACTACATGTGGTGCGTGCGCGTGGGGCGGGGGGCGGGTGGGTTACGGGCGACGTTCAGGACCGTGCCTCGTGCGGTTGGGTACCCCGTCCACACCAACGCGGTCGCCCCGGCCGACTCGGCCGCCAGCTCGCCGTGCGCGAGGAGTGCCGGTGGCGGCCGCGCGGCGCCAACGAAGGTGACGGCTGCCACAGTGGCACGCGGTCGCTCTGCGAGTCCGTCACTCGCCGTCCTCCTCGAGGGAAGGACGGCGGTCCGCCAGCAACAAGTCTCCAGATGGACCAGAGTCGCAAAGACAAAAGAGCCCCTTGTATAGCCTCTACAGCTTGCCGGGGCAAGTGCTGCAACGAGCACAGACGAAGGCCGTGCTGGCACTGGCGCACGAGGGGGCGGCGCCGCCGTTGTCTTCACGGCGGTGACGCTCCGCTCCCCACGCCGCCACGGGCGCGGTCATTCGTGCCCCGCCTTGCGATTCCGGCGTGTTAGTGGTGCCGGGGCCTCCCCTAGGTGCCGTGCGCCGACATCGCCACGGCGGAGACCAAGGTGGCAGGGCGTGGCGCCGACCGCACCGCCACCTCGCGTGGCACGTCGCCCGTGATCGGTGGCCGCCCCCGGAACGGGCCGGCGGCGGCGGCGGCGGCGGCATCACCGGGAGGGTTGAGAAACCCGCGTCGTGGTGAGAACGCTCCGCCGTCAACAGCCGTTCGCCGGACGGTGGTTACGGACGCGCGCCGCTTGAGAATGAGACGTCTCCTGGACGGCGAGTGTGATCGGACGGCGGGCGCCCTCCGTCCACCGGGCGGTCCCTGTGTCGCTGTGCAGGGCCCTCTTGCCGGAGGTGACTCCGAACAACGGGACGAACGCATCGTTCGGAAGACGATGACACCTCCGGATCGTCCAACGGGGGCCACCCACCCTTCCCTTGAAAATACCGGGGAGGAAGTGTGCGGCCTCATCTGGAGATCACGGGGCTTGGTTTTATTGGGTTTCATCTCTCACCTCTGCCGCTCCCTCCCCCTTCCTCCCCCTCCTCAGTGACTACGGCTTCTACCGCCCGGACGGGAAGGACGACTGCGTGGCGGAGGACAAGGCGGACCGCACGCTGCCCCACATCTGCCTGTCGGGCGAGGTGGAGGAGATCAAGACTCAGGGGTGAGGGCCCAGAGCTCGCTCAATGGGACGCAGAGACGCTCGGTCGCGGTCGCGGCCATCGGCGTCATTGTCATCGTCTCCCCGCCCCCCCGCCACCGCCCCCCGACCCTCGGGGGACAGATTCCGCAAGATCCCGGGGGACCGGTGCGTGGGCGGAGTGGAGCACACGCGCCAGCTCATCACCATCAACAAGACGTGCACCTACTCGCTGCTGCGAACGCTGGTCGCCCCCGCAACCGCCGTGAGCACCACAAAGACAAAGGTCCCCCGTGTAGCCTGTGACAGACTGCTGGGGCAAGCGCTGCTAGCGAGCACCTGCGGAGGCCTGTACGGCACGCGAGGGGGGTGGGTGGC